AGATTTGTAAGAAAACAGAACATTGAGAAATATCAAAGGTAATGTCGTGTACATATTTTGTGAAAATTGAGCTTGGCCTCTTGTGAAGAAAACTGTCATTATGAAGCTGTTAGGTCCCGAGAAGCATAATGAATGGAAACTTTGGGATCCATTTATGGACCAATGCTATACGTATATTTTTATCGTATAAATGTTAAATAAATAAACTATTCATATTCACATCTCTCTTATTATGAGCATTATTTCGACCTATGAACTATCATATGATCTACCATTCTTGTATTATGCCCAATCGATTAGGCGTTGGGAAGATAATACTACTATCGAACTGGCCAAGAATGAGATATAGTTCTGCTAGTGCATCGTTTGCTCAAAACGCATTTTTGTGGCAGTTAAAGGAAGACTTCAGATTTTAAGATATCAACGCTCCTAGATATTTTCAACTTGAGACAGCTCTAGAGAGGAGTTGCCTAAGTTGTATTCGCAGTCCTCAACATGTCGTAGATGGATTATTTTATATTTTGAAGTGTTAAAGATAGGTCTGTAGTTGTCCGCTTAAGTGTGAAGTCGAGTCAGATCATCTTTAAGTGCCAATCCCTCATCTTGGTTTCAAATGTCTCACCAAAGTTTTATGTCATCGGTGAAAAGTACTATATCAGACGAAAGCTGCCTAGGAAGGTGGTTTATATAAATTAAGAAAAGAATGGGTCCTGATTTTGAACCCTGAGGGACCTCAATTATTAACCACCTAATACCTACTCGACTGACCTTGTTGATGGGAATTATGTGGTTGATCTACCAAATGTATATGAGTATTCAAGGTGTGTGACATCAATTTTCCCTTCGAAATTAGTTATGGTTGTCCATCTGTTCACTGCGTCAGTAGATTGATTATACATCAATAACCCTTCCTGAAACCATGTTGTTTGGGTGGAAATTAGTCTTTTGATAGTGAGTAGTCAAGTAGACCGTTGCACAACAGAGGCTGTATACTTTTTAAGGACATTGAGAGAATTGCTACGGCCCGGTAGCTTGAAGGTCTGTTGCACTGACTTTATTTTAAAATTGGCGCGATTCGAGCAAGCTTCAATATGGGAAGATTGGGTCATGCAGCTCCTCTTCGACAATTCAATACAAGAGTTACCCAATCGCTAGGTCTTAATAGCTCAACCAGCAAGGATGATGACGCCGCTGACATTCTGATAGAACAGTACTTCCAGGCAACCCAATCTTCCAATATGGAATATGTCAAAAAGATCTTCACATTCAACTAAAAATGACTCTCAGAAGTGAACCTGAGGGATGCCCTAGAGTATATGAAACTTCAGCACGCGAACAAGGACACTTCTCCTGTCATGCATATATTTCATTCTTCCGCAGTGAGTGAAGCGACTTTAATCTTGGCTACAGTGTTTAAGGCCATGTTCTCACGTTCACTGATCTAAGACACGGTACCAGAAAATCGGTAACTCTTGTATGTAGGAAGTTTCATTACTCCTCATTTGGAGTATGGAAATATAATGTTTTACTTTAACTTCAAAAGGATTAAGACACACTGGAACCTAAAATATCCTAAACACATCTAAACATTCCATAAGCATCTACTTAAGCTCAGTCACAACACAAAGTTTGTGGATAACACTGAGAAACTGGCGACACAACAAAGCAGAACGGACTGTGGATGCACCTTTCAGTCCATGAGAGCAGTAGGATGTTAGAATTTCCTGCTGGACGTGCTAGTTCGAACGACTTCCCAGGAGTTGTTAAATGTCTTTATATATATATAGTTAAATATACCCAATTTTCAACGTGTAGGCATAGGTGACCTACTATCGCTAAATGTGTAAACCCGTGAAGCTAAAGCTTCCGTCCAGAACCATTTGAATGGAAAATGATGAAGAAATTAATCCAGCTCACATGGAATAACATAATACAAATATGAATAATTTAAAGCACTACCAAAACGCAGAGCGGAACATGGAATTAAAATTAACTTACAAGTAATTCCGAGAATGAAAAACCGCTTCATTAGTGCACGGGTCGGATTGGTTGCCAAGATAATTGGCGGAAAATATGTGAATTCACCTTGAGTGCGTCGTAATGTCTCTGAGACTTCGCGCAGTATATGAAGTAGAGGTAAGGTTAGTGTTGATAGTGATTGACAAGTGTGTTTTGAAATGTATAATCATCTTAATATTTTCGATTATACGGAATTTGTCACAATAAGTGTATGAGTACAAGAATATCCCTGTAGTTTGATGTAATAATTACGAATGTCCTACAGTTATAACTGTATCATACCGCAGGTAAAGGCAAAATCAGCCCATTACAGATCAAGATACTTTACTTTCTTATGTTATATTTACACATAAATGTTCATAATAAGTCCAAAGTTAATCATTTGAACAATTTGGGCATTACATAAATGATACTTATTATTATTCCAAACTTCAAATAGGTGAAAGACAAAATTGTCTTTACTGACGTTTTGCTTACCATCATCAGTTCATAGTATCACTTGTCTCTAGCTGTTTAAGTAGGGTACACATGATGGTAATAAGTGAAAAAGAACAAAAGAAAAACTAAAATTCTTAAAACAAATAACTACCCGAAGACTTTTGCTCAGAAAACAAAGAACAATATTAAACATCATCGAAAAATTACCAAAATTCTAAACCACAACAGTTGTCATTCTATAAAGATCACATACATCAGATGAGATCAAAAGAATGCCCAACAAGTGTAACACTATTGTATTTAGGATATCAGGTACACCAAAAACAATCTAGTTCATATAAAAGATAAAGTGCAGGTGGATTTACAATGTAACTTTGCCTATAAAATAAAATGTTCAGACCGCGACTTAGTATGAATCGGACAAGCTTCTGATATCATGATAAAAAAAACATCTTAGAGCTTCTGTCCAAAGATTAAAAAAAACAGTGGAACATGAAGGATAATATACCACAGATCTATAGGTTATAATGCCAGGCCATAAGACTGATTTGGATAATACTGAAATCGATCGGAGGGACTTCGAAAACCATAAGCGACTCGTAGTGGAAAAGTTTCACAGTTCATGAGATTCAAATTGTTCGAATAGAAATGAGAAACTAGACTCCAACATTGTCAATGCAGATTTGAAAAGAAATAATTTTTTATCACGTTAACATATTGTTTCCAGACTTTACACACTTATTAAATTAAAAAATTACACTTATCTGTTGCCTTTATTGACTCATTTAATCGACAACGCAGAATAAACCATACAGAATAACTTTGACAGAGTTACTATATAAAGTCGGAGAGTCTTGTGAATTTTAATTTACCACTAATTTGATTAAGCTCTTTTTATCAAATAGTGTGATCTCAATGAAAATAGTTCTGCCTTGTTTTCCACTGACTAGAAAAATGAAGCTTAATAATTACAACGTATATACTTCGAAAGTTATTGACGTAAAGCCTCATCATTTCGAAATACGTAAGATTAATTATCGTTTATTATCAATATGAGAACAAGATATGAGGTACCAAGTCGAGTATGACCACAACTAGCACGATTATCAGCCAACAATAGCTACTAAAGTAACTGGAGTTTAATTGCCGAGTTTCGATGAACGCAATGACCAGACCAAATCATACTTAAAACGACCCCTAAGATACAGTAAACTCTCATAACGATATTGTCTGTCGAAAGAAAACTCATCATCATATCTTCGAGACATGGCACTTGAATGATATGAGGTATACGGTAATAATAACTTGTTAATGAGGTCCTCTGTGTGTTAAATATCCAAACATCGTCGTCGAAATTAATTGAATGATATAGCGCATATAATCTATTAGACGAAATGGAGATAGTATGTACCATCTAGAACTAAACAATACTTATCTTGCAACTATCTAATAACTAGCTTGTTGTTTCTTGTATTTCAGTGAGAATTTGTACATATAAACGAGATACAGATGGACAATAAATTGTGTAGTACATATTGCTTTAATAATGGAGAATGTACTTTATGTTCAGAACAACATCCTTTAATCGAGACAAAATGTCTAAGATGCAGATGTACAAGACAATGGGCAGGAGATAGATGTGAAAGAAAAATAAGATATTTACCTATATCTCTAAAGGAAAAGCCTCAAGAAATACCAGTCGGTATCATGATCGGCCTATTCATCACATGTATAATGCTACTGATCATTTTTGTTATGATTAAGTATAAAGTCATAGGAAACTTGTGGACAAAAATAAAACTATACTACTCAAGAAACAGTCCTATTAAGAAAGATTCAACATCTTTTTCTTACGTAAATTATGTGAATGATGACATCGTAATTATTTGAATATTTTCTTTTAACCCGAATGATGATTTCTTTTTTTCATATACTCCCAGTATTTTATCGACTTGTGAGCATTATGAAAATAGATAGTACGGTATTGCGAAATTGTTTTATCAAGGTCTTTATGAATCAGCAATTTAGACAGTTTTGAAGTGTGTGCAATGTCATATTATGATGGTAATATATCGGTTTTCTACAACCTGTTCCTAATGTTATAGGGATCTTCACCCTTAAAAAAAGACTGATCTGTATCTTAAACCATTATACCAATTTCACATGATTATTCAATGGACAAAACATCTGATTAGTAGATATAAACGCTCAGCGACTAACTCGACAGGTTTGTTAAAATTCATAGCAGATCATATACTGCAATTACGAAACATGAAATTACTCATAATCGAAACTTTATGAATGATTCCCTATGTACTTGTAGATTGGTGAGCATAGTAATTACCATCTAATTATTGTGTTATGGGTTCGATCTGAATCCAATTAAAGGATTTTTAAAAGCGGAGCTATGGGTCATCGGTTTCTGAATTAACTGTTGGTAAATACAAAGTTTCCTAGATATGAGAGTTCAATACTATTCCCACCCATTTTCGTAAACAAAACAAGTGAACAAACTGCAACTTGGCTATCATGTACACTTCAATGAAATGGAGTATAAGTTGAGTATATTAAGAATTGTGAATCTACAATTACAGAACATAAATCATTCGATGACTTTATAAATTGTGCGATGAAGTGTTTAATATATATTAAAATATTTGTTTTTCATCAGAGTATGGTTTGGTTCTTATTTTCAAGAAGTCTATCTATGGATTATTGATTTGTGTGAACTAAAGCTTGAAAAGTGATGATACTACCAAGGCAACTGTAACCCCGCATGTTTTTATGCTTATGAACAAAATAAAACTGCACTGATTAGAAGAAATCAGTAATGTATTCAAAAAATATTGTAAATCAAAGTGTATTGTAAATAAACAGATATCAATATACTATGATGTATTATTATAATTATTATGATTGTAGCATGAAATCAATACGTAGTAAAGAAAATAACAAACAAAAAAATTCAGAATAAATTTTCTTAATTATTTTTTTCTTATCAAATCTTGACAACAACCATAATGTTCTAATTCATCACTTGTTGGTTGTCTAACAAAAGCACTATTACCAATACGTCGACGACATATTCGACAACGTGTAGATGATAAAATTGAAAAATGATTATTTGTAACTTTTATACGATCTGTACATGATGCGATTAATTCAGATTTTGCAGCATTTTCAAGAAAAACTAATTGATTCAATGTACTCTCTTGAGATATAAACATGTTCTAGATGTATCGTAAAAAAGAACAGTAACAAAAAGTAAACGCTTAGTTTTAAAATTTTATAGATCAGAACAACAGTACAGATATCGAAGAACAATATGATAAAAACCCGTATATTTTGAGCACCGATAATGACATAGGTGGGTTGGGGATTTCTTTCTATCTCTATAGTTTGAGTAATGAGTTTCTTTTGGGCTAAAAACTAGGTCATATAGAGATGTTCACCAAAGTTACGATAACAATAGAAGTTGATTGATAATAAGGACTGAAAGGTATAGCGTTGATTATTGTCTGATAACTGATTAATATAATTAATTCGGTTCTGATAAAGTTAAGTTACAGCTAACAGCTTGGCGAACTCCTTAAGTAAAAAACGTTACGCAGACCTAGGAATCAAATTTGTAAAACCAAGTTTGGCATTTAGAATGAGTGAAAAAATCTTGTTCACTTGAAACATAGGAAGAGATAATCCATGAATTAGATGAAGCTAGGTTGGGTAGTCGACTGATTCTGATATTGACCTGGAAACTCCCTATATATGAGCTCAAACTGGAACTTTAATGAGAAATCAAGTAACGAATTGAGAGTTGTATTGGTTAATCTGATCATTTATGCACTTACTTTACTTACTTACTCCTGTTACTCCCAATGGAGCATAGGCCGCCGACCAGCATTCTCCAACCCACTCTGTCTTGGGCCTTCTTTTCTAGTTCCATCCAATTCTTGTTCATTTTTCTCATGTCTATTTCCATTTCCCGGCGTAATGTGTTCTTTGGTCTTCCTCTTTTCCTTTGGCCTTGAGGATTCCAGTTGAGAGCTTGTCTTGTGACGCAGTTGGGTGCTTTCCTCAATGTGTGTCCTATCCACTTCCAGAGCTTCTTCCTGATTTCTTCCTCCACTGGGATCCGGTTTGTTCTCTCCCACAGTAGGTTGTTGCTAATAGTGTCCGGTCTTGTAAATCAATAAATATCGCATTCCTTAGAACTAAACATGCAGCTAATCATTTGACAGGACTGAACTTAGAAGCTGTTTATTAGTCGGCATCCTTGTTTGGTTAATTGATGTTCTTAAAGTCCTTTACACAAACGTCTAATTTAGTAAGGTATAGTACAAACACCATTATGCATTGTTAATATAGAATATATTGCGCATGATCGAAGTGTAATACACATTTAGTTACCCATCAGAAGCCTACCTATATATCAATCATTAAAATGTTGGAAATTGCAGAGTACTTTATATATCTCGGTAGTTGTTTGAATGTTGTTAAAATTACAAGGAATAAATCATAAAAGCAATCGCCTTTTTGTCAAACATAAGCCCTATCTAAACAAGCTTACAGTGTAAAGTAATTTAAGATTTACTAACATGAAACCTGCAATAGAATTACTAGCTAAGCATAATGTATAAAATTATTGATAATTTTGCATACCTTTAAGTAGTTCCCAACAGAACTCAAAGCAACGGTAGGTATGATTTGTATCACTTTGACAGGATCTACAAGTGTACTATATTGGTGAAGGATTTCAAGTGCTTTCTTTAGTTTCGGAGTAAATGATGTAGATTTGTTGGGAGATGCTAAAAAATACATACAATTAATTATTTAAGATACTAAATGTGAAATACACCATTTTAAACCAATAATTCAACTGGAAATGACAAATACACACACTAATAATAATAACAGCACTATTCGCTAGTGTTTATTGCTTAAGTAGCTTATCAGTATAGGGTTGTTAAGATTGTTGAGTTCTAACTGAGATCCTGAACTGATCAATGTTAAATCACCATCGATAAGTATCTTATTTTGAATAACAACCATTTAGTCTAAAGCAACGTACAACCTGACATATGTAAATCAGTTTGAAGTGTCACACCACATAGTCACAGAGAAATGGAATTATCAAATGAAAAACAAATAATAATATCACTTAAAAGAAGAGATTGAGCAACGGAATAAAAGATGTACGATCATTTTCAAGCTTAGAATCGAGTGGAAGTCAAAGCATGAATATGTCTGTGCCACTACGAACGGTTCTGAGCCATACGATCCAAAGACGCCAACCATTAGTTATGATAAACACGCGGACTCAAACACAGTAGTTAGTGTCTATACCAACAACCAATAGGTAAATATATATTAGAATAGAAATTGCAGGATTTTATCAGTCACCAGTTATCTATTAACTGTTTTTTTAATAGGAAAAAACAAACAGCTCCTTTAAATCAAGAACAAAACAACAAACTTACAAGGTAGAACAATGCCTAAAGAAGCAGGTTCGGTAGGATGTAAACAAATTTGTATAAGTAGAAAAAATATATCACAATCATTATTGGTCAGTGTTTCATTATGATGTTTACTAGTAACATTAATATTGTTGTCTATGAATGGTGAATTGGCCAATGAAGGAGAATTTCGCATATTTTGTGCATATGATAAAGATTTCTTGTCGATTATAGCACTACCACTACCATCACTATTACCGTCACAGGCGCCAACACAATCTGTATGAACAATATCCGTATCTACATGTTCAACATTATTCAAATGATGTTCACCTTTTTGATAAACATTAATACAATGAGTTACAGCTCTATTCCAATCATTTAGTAAATGAACCCAAAGTGAAAGAGCCTAGAAAAATTATTATAAATATAAAATATGTAAGTTAGGTGCGACTAAAAAAATGCCTAGTTTGATTTGTATCATGATATCTTTTATTAAAATATAATATGATTAAATGTTTGTATACTTGATCATCTGCAGTGCCAACTCCTAAGTTATACTAACGTTTTCCGACAATTTAGGAATATTCAATTATTATCTGATAGTCGATTAGTGTCAAAACCATAAAACTGTTTATGCTAAAACTTACAATATGGATAACTAAATCACTATAAGCAAAGATGGGTGGTGGTTAGCAATGGAATCCAGGACGTGCACTTCGTCATATTTGGGACTCGTCAGATGGACGTACCCGCATCCCAAAGTTGATGTTCACTCTGGGACTCGAGCCGAGTGCCGTTCATTTCAAACACCATCGCGTTATCCACTCAGCTACTGAGTCATGATAACCACTTGCTTGTGCAATGAGGTTTACTTTAAATTCACTTGGCATGGAGCGAACGGTACTGGGTTCGAGTCCCAAAGTGAACATCAACCCTGACACGCAGGTACATCCAGCTGACGAGTCCTAAATAGGACGAAACGCGCGTCCTGGATTCCACTGCTAGCCAACATCCATCTTTGCTTATAATGCTTGTGAACTAAGGCAATGTGCACAGTATGCACATATGTCAATATGAGACTGATCAATTGCAGTCCTAAAATTCAATGGGAAGGTTCAAGTAAAACAATACCAAATGAATTAAAATAACTAAATCGTTTTAAAAGTTTACATTATGAACTGACCTTCGTTAGACAACAAGGAAGGACTAGACAGCTGTTTAGTCCTAGGATATGACTCCTTAGCGGTGCACATCAATGACTCCACTGGAAAGTCAACTACAGAAACTTCAGATCTTGCATGGAGCATTTGACCTTTAGACCACTATGAGTCAGTATCCAACCGTTCTCATTTAAACATAGGGTTAACAATCGCGTCTCATAGGAAATAACTTCGCTGCAAAATATCTAACCAAGAAAAATCATTCGAACAATTCAAACGCTGCCCTGAGAGTTGGACGGTCCGAATATAGAAGAAATAAGATACCTTATAGTAAAAGGCGAAATTCTTCGGAAGTCACGAAGCTGATGGCTATTTTGACAACCAGAGGAACAATTAATATCGGTACATGGAATGTACGGACAATATCGTAGATCATGAGGGCTCTTTCACATAAAGAAATGCTTTATTAACCTATAAATATTAAGAATAACATATTTCTAGTTTCGCCACTTGAATACGTTATGAATACAAACTTTATATTGCCAAGTAATAAAGAGCACAGGTTCGACTGGTTAGAAGTTTAGCTATGTAACCAATGATCTTCGCTTTAACCAATGACAAAACTGACTATCCACAATGACCAGAATCTTAATTTCTCTTGACCCAATGCATTACTTTTCATTTTCAAATAGACAGTTAGCTAGCTGATAAATATCAAATTGTTTTTTTTTCTGACTCAAAACCAATACTAACGCATCACATGTAAGGAATCTTGTTCTATGCATAAGTGGATTGTAAATGATACAAAACGGAGTGATAGGTGAATAAATATTTAGTCGCAATTTCAGTAAGATTAATAAGTTAAGTAAAATGTTATCACTAAAACAGTATGGATAATCTACATAACATACTTGTTCATGTTTATTTAACTTGGCCAACAGGAAAGCACGTTCCTCAAAAAATGCATCATAAGGACATTTAGCTAATAGTCGACTAAAAGAATAATTTGCACCAGGATGTATGAGAAAACGCATAAGACGTAGACGTAACCGTGCTACAGCTCCAGACTTCGGTTGTTCATCATTAACTTTAAATGCAAATGGTTTATTAGTCGGTTGTAATGATTGTGCTCTACGTCTAGAACAGAAAAAAACGACAACAAAAATGTAAGTAATTACTAAATGAATTGTAAAATGTAAATTTTTGGTAGTATTTATTGCATGGGAACCCAACGTACTACTTGAAACGAATCAAATCAGATGAGACAGGAATCAAAACAGTGACTTCATAAGTAAAAGTGAATGTTCGAAATATTGATTTACAGTTTTACAGAATCACGTTTATATGTTAATGAAAATTAAACAGATAATACAATGGTAGTGAATGGGGGACATTCTTGCCACTTGTAAATACATATGGGTTGTAACGATAGTTATTTGAGTCTTTCACGACGTGCATAGAAGCTGAACTGGAAGGTAAATCATAGCATATGCTTAGATAATTGTCAATTCTAATTAGATTCAAAGTTTGGAAGAGTTTCATAATTGCCTTTGAAGCATCCAGCATCAAATTGTATCCAAACGGTACAAAACTACTTAACATTTAGTCAACCCATAGAGATTGATCATCCCTGAACTTCTAAAACATACAAATGTCATTATTTACTGAGAGATTGTTTGAAGATAAAGGGTCAAAGTAATTGTGCTGTTAAAAACATTCTGTAATTAAATCAATTTAAGTCTATTATGAGAGACACTCAATTCGAATTCCAAGGTTAGGAGTATTTATTTGGAACTTCAGACAATCCGTGCTAACGAATATCACCTAGCATGATACAGTTTCACAACTTTCTATTGATTTCGTTGGACAATTTAGCACTAATCTATTGATCCTTACTCATCATATGACAAACGCACGCACACAAACTATTGAAGCAGAGAAATATTTATACTAACTTACATTAATGCTACTGCGTAGCGTGTATGTATATCACATACATCAATATAAGAGGGATATTGTGGAATAGGGGGTAAAATATCTGGATCACAGATTTTTGAAGAATTGTCATCTTTAAATGAACTATTCATAAGTGAATTAATTAGTCGCGAGCGTTTAAAACCACCTTGATCAGGTAAAGGCCATAATGAATTTGTTAGCATATCTCTAAACCGATTAGAACGCTTTAAAAATAAAGTAAAAACAAGCGAATGAAAGAAATTATTTGAAAGAAGAAATGAAGAAGATAGTTATATGTTTATATGAGAATATATATATCGTCTTGGAATCAACAACAATAACAGACATACCATCAGTGATTAATTACATGTAAAAATTAATTAATATAATCAAGTTGAACTAATGCGTTTGAACAAAAAAGTTAGAAAATTCCCAACAAGTAGGACAAATACAAAGATGTAATGAATATTCAATGGTTTGTATGCTCTCGTACCATTTTAATTGATGTTAGTTAGTTGCAAACACGAAATCTTTCAGATGAGAAAAAAAACATGTGTATAGATTATGAATGAAGTGAGCAACGTAAGGTGGTTGAAGGTAGTCAGTTCTTGGTTGATAATTTATAACTTGAAAAAGCTGATTTTTCTTGATACAACCACGTATAACTGAGCACTAGAACACCAAACCCTACCAACTCGCAATAAGAAGACAGAAGACTAACGAAAGGAATATTATTCCAAACAGTGTCCATAATTTGTTGGAAGATTGAAGGGGCAGTCTTTACTCCAAAAGGAAGTCGGTTATATCGGAACAATCCCTTGTGAGTGTTTATTGTCAAGTAATGCTTACGCTCATCCGCTACCGGAATCTGTAGATAAGCGTCTGATAGGTCTAATTTCGCAAAATACTTACCCCCATTCAGTTTCGCAAATAAATCCTCTGGTACCGGCAATGGGTATTGATGGGCTTCAAGCGCTTCATTTAATCCAGTCGAATAATCTGCACATAACCGGATACTTCCATTAGGCTTTTTAACAATCACTATTGGAGCTGCCCAATCAGAAAAGTTTACTGGTTCGATTATTCCACTTCTTTGCAGACGCTCTAATTCTTGTTCAACAATAGGTAGCGCTGCATAAGGTACCGGACGTTTTGGTCTGAAGACGGGGGTGACTCCCGGTTTAAGAATCAATAGTGCTTTAACCTTTTTGCATTCCCCCAACTCTTCCGTAAACACTTGACTGTGTCTTTCCAATACAACACTCTTCAGATCCTTTTCCACCGGTTTACTGGTTCTCACTGCGCTGCATATGTGGTTAATGGGGTGATTTGCTAATTGAAGTGCTTCTATCAAGTCTAGACCTAGCAAATCCAGTCCTGGATTCTGTGTAAGATATAAAGTTGCATTTGTTTTCGCATTTCCTTTCGAGACTGTACAACAAACCTCTCCAACAATATTTAGTTTTCCTCCAGATGCGCTGTGAGCTAACTGGGTTGTTGGGAGCACCTGTGGTTTACCGATAAGATTCCAAGTTCTCCGACTAATAAGTGTGATGTCAGAGGCGGTGTCGAGTTGCAGGCGGGCACGCTTTTTATTTATATCCAAGTTTACATACTTTCTTTGGCGGCAAATTCGTGCTCGATTATGTGATACCAATATTTTGTTAGTTCGAGCACTAAATCTGTATTTCTTCGAGTAGGGTTTCAAAGAATGTCGTTTATGGGTTCTTTTTCTGCAGCAGTTTTCTTTATGTCCCTTGCGAAGACACTTGCTACAACAATGTTCTTTATATGGGCAGAACCTTTTATAATGCCAACCACCACAAGACCAACATGGAGATGAAGGCTGATTATCTGTGTGCGATGCCTTTCTTGAGCAAGAATCGTTCTTTCCGCTTACAGCACGAACGTATGGCAACTGGCCATTATTTTCGACCATCGAAGTGTCATGCTTTAGGTTCACCAATCTCTGGCACTCTGCGGTTACTTCTTGTAGTGTCATATTCGGACATTGTTCAATTTTACTCAAAATTCTGGTTCTAATATCGGCATCTTCGGGAGATTGTAGGCTGCACACAAATACGAGACACTTAAACTGGTCTTCTGTCATTGCTGATAGTTTGAAGCGCTCACATTCACGGTTTACTAAACCCGCATGCTTCACCCAGTCATCATCACCTGCTTTTGTCATCTTGAGACATTGATAACGAATATTAAACAAGGATGACTGTTCAGCAAAGATTTGCGACAAAGTTTCAATCGTTGCATCGAAAGAAAAATCTCTTGGATTCTTTGGAAGGATAAAGTTACTGTAACGTTCATGTTCAACAGTTCCAAGTTTTCGCAAGAGTATTCTGACCTTAGCGGCGTCATCAAGTTTTTTGAGGTCGACCTTGAACAAATCTTCATATTTCTTGAACCAAGTTTCAAAAGTAATGCCAGCTGAACCATCAAAATTAAATTCATGAATAGAATTAACAATCTGGTCAACATGAGTTTTGAAGGGATCATCTGAAACTTCTTTTTGATCCAGGTTCATTTTCTGAGTAAGCATCTCTATCATGCGCATCTGGAACTGTTCAAAACGTTTTTCTTGGCGTTCCAATAAGTCTTCAAATTGTTCAAAGGTAAATGACATATTGGAACAATAACCCGTCGCCAGATGTTATAACTTGAAAAAGCTGATTTTTCTTGATACAACCACGTATAACTGAGCACTAGAACACCAAATCCTTCCAAGTCGCAATAAGAAGACAGAAGACTAACGAAAGGAATATTATTCCAAACAGTGTCAAACATAGAACCAGAATTTTGAGTAAAATTGAACAATGTCCGAATATGACACTACAAGAAGTAACCGCAGAGTGCCAGAGATTGGTGAACCTAAAGCATGACACTTCGATGGTCGAAAATAATGGCCAGTTGCCATACGTTCGTGCTGTAAGCGGAAAGAACGATTCTTGCTCAAGAAAGGCATCGCACACAGATAATCAGCCTTCATCTCCATGTTGGTCTTGTGGTGGTTGGCATTATAAAAGGTTCTGCCCATATAAAGAACATTGTTGTAGCAAGTGTCTTCGCAAGGGACATAAAGAAAACTGCTGCAGAAAAAGAACCCATAAACGACATTCTTTGAAACCCTACTCGAAGAAATACAGATTTAGTGCTCGAACTAACAAAATATTGGTATCACATAATCGAGCACGAATTTTCCGCCAAAGAAAGTATGTAAACTTGGATATAAATAAAAAGCGTGCCCGCCTGCAACTCGACACCGCCTCTGACATCACACTTATTAGTCGGAGAACTTGGAATCTTATCGGTAAACCACAGGTGCTCCCAACAACCCAGTTAGCTCACAGCGCATCTGGAGGAAAACTAAATATTGTTGGAGAGGTTTGTTGTACAGTCTCGAAAGGAAATGCGAAAACAAATGCAACTTTATATCTTACACAGAATCCAGGACTGGATTTGCTAGGTCTAGACTTGATAGAAGCACTTCAATTAGCAAATCACCCCATTAACCACATATGCAGCGCAGTGAGAACCAGTAAACCGGTGGAAAAGGATCTGAAGAGTGTTGTATTGGAAAGACACAGTCAAGTGTTTACGGAAGAGTTGGGGGAATGCAAAAAGGTTAAAGCACTATTGATTCTTAAACCGGGAGTCACCCCCGTCTTCAGACCAAAACGTCCGGTACCTTATGCAGCGCTACCTATTGTTGAACAAGAATTAGAGCGTCTGCAAAGAAGTGGAATAATCGAACCAGTAAACTTTTCTGATTGGGCAGCTCCAATAGTGATTGTTAAAAAGCCTAATGGAAGTATCCGGTTATGTGCAGATTATTCGACTGGATTAAATGAAGCGCTTGAAGCCCATCAATACCCATTGCCGGTACCAGAGGATTTATTTGCGAAACTGAATGGGGGTAAGTATTTTGCGAAATTAGACCTATCAGACGCTTATCTACAGATTCCGGTAGCGGATGAGCGTAAGCATTACTTGACAATAAACACTCACAAGGGATTGTTCCGATATAACCGACTTCCTTTTGGAGTAAAGACTGCCCCTTCAATCTTCCAACAAGTTATGGACACTATGTTACAAGACATTCCTGGTACCGCGGCTTATCTCGATGATATATTGATCACGGGTACAGACTATGCTGATTAAGAGAATAAGGTTGATACGGTTCTCAGACGCATAGCAGATTATGGATTCAGACTGCGTGCCGAAAAATGTGATTTTTACATGGAGCAAGTCCGGTATTTGGGATTCATAATTGATAAAAACGGGAGAAAACGTGATCCTGAAAATGTCGAAGCCATTAAGTCCATGCCTCCGCCGACGGATGTGTCAACTTTACGTTCTTTCTTGGGAATGGTTAGTCATTATGGAGTTTTTCTGCCAGATCTGCATCGCCATCGTGCTCCTCTTAATGGCTTATTGAAAAAGGATACTAAATGGTTCTGGTCAACTGAATGCCAAGAAGCATTCCTAAAACTGAAGCAGCTTCTATCATCGAACCTTCTCCTTACACACTATGATCCCGATCTTCCAATTATAGTCGCAGCAGATGCGTCGAACTACGGAATTGGAGCAGTAATTTCACAAACCTACCCTGACGGGTCTGAGAAAGCAATCGCTCACGCTGCGAGATCGCTGACTATGACTGAAAGGAACTACAGTCAAATAGAAAAAGAAGCCCTCGCGATTATATTTGCTGTAAAAAAGTTCCACAAGATGTTGTTTGGTCGGCAGTTCACCTTACTTACAGACCATAAACCTTTACTGACAGTTTTTGGATCTAAAAAAGGCATCCCGGTATATACAGCAAACCGGCTACAGAGATGGGCTACCACACTGCTTGGTTATGATTTCAAGATAAATTATCAACCAACAACGGATTTCGGACAGGCAGATGCACTCTCAAGATTGATTGGTCTGCATGAAAAACAAGAAGAAGAGGTGCTTGTAGCTGCTATAGATGTCGAGGCCGAGGTTCACAAAATATTGTCAGACGCAGTTTCCGGACTCCCGGTCACATTTGAAGCCATTAAAGAGGCCAGCAAGAAGGATAATGTATTAAAGATTGTTCGCCATTCCATACTCAATAAATGGCCTTCATCTAGATTACACGGAGAACTCTTACAATACTTTCGTCGACGAGAGTCATTAACAGTTGTCGATTCATGTATAATGTTTGGCCATCGTATCGTTATCCCCAGAAATCTTCGACACCAAGTCATTAAACAGTTCCACAGCGGGCATCCGGGGATAAGTAAAATGAAGTCACTAACTCGTAGCTATGCATACTGGCCGTCAATGGACCATGAGATAGAGCAAAAATGTCGCAGCTGTTGGTCCTGTCTAGAGGCTGCAAAGAATCCAACGAAAGTTGAACCACAACCATGGCCGAACCCGGACGGGCCTTGGCAAAGAATACATGCTGATTTCGCCGGGCCAATACAAGGCAGGAATTACTTAGTTGTTGTAGATGCTTTCACAAAATGGCCAGAAGTATATGTCATGCCGAATACGACTTCAGAGAGTACCATAAGAAGATTGTCAGGATCGTTTGCCTGTTTTGGGGTTCCAGAGATCTTAGTGACTGACAATGGTACTCAGTTTATGTCATCTGCCTTCAAACGCTTCTGCAACGAGAATGGCATATTGCATCTACAATCTCCTCCATACCATCCTCAGTCGAATGGCCAGGCAGAAAGATTCGTGGATACAATTAAAAGAGCTCTGGTCAAAGGGGGAGGTGAGGGTGTCCCGGAACAAGTGATTAGTAAGTTCTTGATGTCTTACAGAGTTACCCCTAATCCGGCAGTACCAGAAGGAAAGTCTCCGGCCGAGTGTATGTTCGGAAGGAAAATCCGGACAGTTTTTAGCAGTATGTTGCCGCCCAGAAAGACAAATAAACCCACGAATGAAAATCGTAAGGTCAATCGTAGCTTCCAGGTGGGTGAAAAGGTACTTGTCAGATCGTATCAAGGTAATAGGAAGTGGGAACCAGGTGTCATAGAACGTCGAATCGGAAATGTGCTGTACCTAGTCCGGAAAGATGTCGGGAAATGCATAAGACATATAAATCAAATGCAAAGAAATGATAGTACAGTGGTCACAGAAAACCGGCTTCCATTTCAATTGCTCGTAGATTCATCTCAGAAGAACCATCATGAGCGCGAATATCGAAAAGATAAACGACGCAGAGAGAAAGCCGTACAACCCTCGAGAGTAATGGACCGCAAGAGGAATGCGACACACAAGCTTCAGGTGGATCCAAGAAAAAAATCTTACACAACGGACTTTAAAGGGGGGAGGTGTGACGACGGACCACCGGTGAACTCGAGGAAGCTGTAAGAGGCTCAGAAGGAGCCGAAGACGTTCCATCCAATCACCTGCCGGAAGAATGTTCTAGAATTCCAACGTGTAGCTTCCCGATTGGATAATGCTAATAACCCCCTGTACGCGGATTGGAAGACTGTAATGATGATTTCGTTCTCACTAAAAATTATAAATACCTGATAATTTTGTACTATGTTTGACACTGTTTGGAATAATATTCCTTTCGTTAGTCTTCTGTCTTCTTATTGCGACTTGGAAGGATTTGGTGTTCTAGTGCTCAGTTATACGTGGTTGTATCAAGAAAAATCAGCTTTTTCAAGTTATAACACAGACGTTACCACTGATTGATTCGCGGAGCAACTGATCTCCTATAGGACAAAGGTGTTCACACTGATTAATCACTGAGTATTGGCCAATATCATATTTTTTTACTCCATAATACTCATCAAATTACATCAATCATGAATAAAAAGTAGTAAGTGAGACAATAACGTCTTAGTAGTTTGTCAATGAGACACCATCACAGAGGTTTATTAGTGTTTGCTGTGTTTCTTTTACAAAGACAAACTATGTTTAAATAAAATATAATAGTAAACCTGTAGGAAGACTAAGAATTGCAGCTAAAAGATGGAAAGAACTTCTATAGTTACCTGTTTTAACATAACAAAAGTGGATAAGTCTATTAATACACAAAGTATTGATATATGGATGATTTAAAGCTTCGTTTTGAAATGAAATTTAAACTGATTGGTGAGAACTGTGTTGTTTTTAAGTTTGTGAATTCCGAGTTTCAGAATACATTTATAACTTACAGTTTATTGATTATCAGTATTACTGAATCATAATTCTATACTGATCATAGTTAAGCTCTTTGGAGTAGTGATTTTTTTTTCAGCAAATTAACATACCTAAGCTGATGAATATATTTCTCAAAAAGACAAATATAGATTGAAAGTCATAATAAAAGAGTAGGGGGAGATAAGTCAAACAGTTTAGCGTAAAATTGTCTAATGTGATGCATAATTTTATGTAAGGACCACATACAAACAAAATAAATCGTTATTAACCCCTTTGTCGTTAAATAAAGAAAGGAAATTGCACTTCATGCCCATTGATACTCACAAAGAAGGTAGACTTGAGGTGTGTGAAGAGAAACTGTTAGTTGTTTATAGATTCTAATTTATGTTATTCAATATTAAAATAATAAATATTACTTATGAACTAGTAGAATCAAGATCGACACTTTGTTGGAATGAATTACTCAGAAGCATTGGTCACTTGAAGGTAAGAATTAACTGCGCAATATCATTTCACTTAAATTAATACATAAGACTGGGCTAATATACGAGTAACGATGTTGAGAATGGGTTCCTATCTACAGAGCTACTTGACAAATCACAAACTGGGATACACAGCTTATATGGTTATACCTGTATCCTCGGGAATGATAGTGAGTGTGATCGAACTAATATCTAGCATGTTCCGGCTCTTCATTGCTCGAAACATGATCAATCGTTACACTTAAACAAAAGGGTAATGAATCTATCAACATCAGAGACATGAAAATCTAAATTTTATATCCGATTGTGAAGGGAAAAAACACATGATATAACCAATTATTGTTTAAAGGGTAGTAGACAAATTAACATACTTTTCCTGGAGACATAGATTCAGATTGCATTGAATCCAAGGATGATCCACATGACAATTGAGGAACACTTAGTATTTTAGATTTTAAAACATTACGAGGACTAAATCTATTCAATTTATGATCAAAGTTTCTTGGTGTACTTTGCTTTAATTCAGTATGGTTATAATTCAAATGAGTAGCGTTAGATTTTGACTTCTCTATGACTTTCTCTTCTTTCTGGTGATCATCAGTGTTAAAATCAGTCTGATTATCAGATTCATATTCTTTGGTTTTAATTTCATTACTATCTCCCTCTCCTTCTTCTTCTCCTTCATCTTCCTCTTCTTCATGACCAATCTGTTCTTCTGATTCGCCTTCATCTAATATTTCATTATCTTCAGTTACATCTTCATCTTCATCATAATAGTCATCGTCGTCAATATCAACATTATGCTGAACATTCCACTGTACAAATATAATTAATTCTAAATAAGGAATAATTAAGTGTGAAGCATATTGTTCCATATAATGTAATATTTGATTTCGATAATTCGAACAAAATACTGTGAATTGATCTGATTGAATAAAATGAAATAATAATAATAATATCAGATACAGAAGTACAAAACTAATAACTATGGTACACTTTATGAGTTAAATGAAAAGAATATGACTATACTATTAGTAATAATAGTCAAAATTACATTTTAATGAAAAAAATTATTAAATGGTTATTAACAACAACTATTACAGGGGAATGTATATATCATACTTGGTAATTACAAATGAATAGTGAATTTTAATTTGATTCTTTCCAAAATTTGACTTTAATTGAACTTGGCAGTGTAAAACAAAATGTGGAATCAGTTCATTAAGCTAATGATTATTGATTTCGACTGCACATGTAAAAGCAGACTATCTGATAGGTTTGAGTAAATTAATCACAATCAATGATTGGAAACTGAATGATATGACTCAGAATCGTTCACAATGGCCCAGCTACATTCACTCTTTATCTTCTCAATCATGAACTTTAGTATTTCTTTATACATACCTCATCACTTTGTCTTCTTAAATCATATTTGCAATGTTTAGCCCTTCTCATTGTCACCACTACTACATCATTCCGACCGCTTTTACTATTCATTTTGCTAATTTTATCTCATTGTGCTAATACAGTGTGTAAAGTCGGCTCAAGTTTCACGAAGGCCGGTTTGATACCTGGTCGAACAGTCATAAAAATACATTCTACGAGACCTCTCATATCTCAACACATATGCATATTCATAAAAGTGAGATCTTTTACTGGGAAAGCATATTGGTAAATCGCTTGGATATAATTAGTAACAGGTTCACAAATAAAAAATAACCACTTTCTAAATCGTACAATGTATAATACTAATAACAGAAACGTTCAGATAACAAGCTAGTTGAAGAAAACGTCAATAGTATAACAGATAACGAGCTCGATAGCATTGAGAATTCTATACTTTTAGGGAGACACCAAAAAGTGAAACAGTTCACAGCTGTCAAATTCTCTATAATTTACGATTTCTTCATCAATCGTCATGAGTAAATGCAGCAACTTATTTTTGATATAAAGTGGTCTAGCTTAATGGTTAATTCATTGAATTTTCAAACATTTGGTTGCAAGTTCGAATCTAGGTCAGTTACGACAGAGAATAAAGACTAGCAATAAAATTAGTAATAAACATATGTAAACATGCTTCGATTTGATTTTAAAACAAAAACTAACTGATTAACCGGTATTAACAGAATCCACGCAAGTTTATATTCTACTGACTACAACTCCAGCTTTTAAAAGGTTATTTATTCTTCTAAACACGTACACATTTGCATGAAAGGGGGTCGAAAAATATATGTGCCATACAAATCATTGGATTTATGTTTGGGCTGGGAAACTACCCAGGTGACCAAAGAGAAGGAGGTGGTCTTCTAAGGGGACCACTCCTCTACCCTTTGATATAGAGGTCTTAGCCATAAGGTAGTGGGGCGACGTTAGATGATGCAGTTCCAAAGTAACCGATGAGAGACAGTAAGTGCATTCTACATTTGTTCCTCCAGGATTCTGGAGCCTACGTGAACTATTGGTTTGAAACTAGGATTTTCCAACCCCCTTAGATGAATTCTCCGTACCTATGAACTCGGTTTAAGCACCGGACATTCACCTTTAGTCCTCTTAACTTCGAAAACAACACCCTCACCACGGGAAGGCAGTGAGTAGGACTTTCCTAGTGATGGCAATATAAGCGTGTCCATATGAGAATATTTCGAGAGGGAGAGCGGACTCTTTCCACCCTCGGTCGTACCAAGGCATTTAAAGAGATAGACTCATTAGGTAGTTATGCCGAAAACATTTAGAGTATATTTAAACGAAATTACATCAAATGAATGTTTCCTGGTAAATATTTGTACCAATAATAGTTACTAAAGTGAAGCAAGTATAAAGCAGACGAATGAGTGCTTATTACTATTTTCGTAATGTTCCTGACATTTGGAGGTATCAAACTGCAATTAATGGCGTGGTCTGTTGATATGTTATCAAGTATAATAGTTACACTCAATAAGTCGGTTAAAATCATTTCAAAACAGTACATAAGTTAGCTTGAAATCTTTCCACCAATTATCACACCTATTTGAGTTGAGTAGTAACAATCATGATCATGTAACAAAACTAGTTAAGATGTTACTAAACTCATAAATTAAATTATGTAGATGAAAATCATACAGCATTCTGATTGTCTACTATCTGAGCAAAAGCAGTGAAATATTCTTAAATACAGTATATACAAATACTTTCTCTGTCTATCATATACATCAAGATATTTATGTAGCCTTTAGTTTATGTTAAAGTACAGAAATTTTTAGATAAAAATCATTGATTTATATAATATCAATAAAGGTAACTTGCTCACACCTTTTTTATCTTTATCATATAATGTTGTACTGAGAAGAAATTCAGATTGATATTTCATGGTAAGTTTCTGTTCCCAATAGTATAGAATACGTATCCAACTAATTGGATGATAACGTAGTATATAATTTTTAGAATAGTCAAGCAGTAGATTCAAGTGTGAAGCATTTAAATAATGTATGAAATAATGAATTATACGTTTTGGATGACCGATTTGTTCAATTAATCCAGGATTATAATTGTTTTCTAAGGTAATGTTAAGTGGAAGTTTAGGATTTGAATTTGATTCTGTCATGGTTATTGCATACCCTGTTTGCTTCATACGTATGATATTGAATTGTTGTAGAATAGATAATGCTTCTTGATGTAATCCACGTGATTGATATAACATTATTAATTCCTTTATTATTGAAAATAAGGTTAGAATTGAAAGGAATAACAGACGAAACAACAGATGAAAGAACTGAGTTCACAAAAAGCCTTATTTTACAAAATCAGGGATTCATCAATCTTATGCTCTCCATAATGCTCCCCATTTCAGAATAATAAGATTTAACTCATCTTAGTTGACATTATTCAAAACATTACTGGAATTCTTCAGAAGACAGATTCTTCTTTCATTGCTTATGCATTTCACATAGTGTTTTCAACCCTACATTATAGTTAAAATCGTATGCACAGACAACTTTACTAAACTCGGTTCGTTAATGATTACTTACATGGAAAACCAAACATTAAAAGGCACAGAAGATGACATACGTCCAATGTTTCTATCAACACCGAATGTAGATAATTGATCTAGTCTTAAATTATCAATGCAGTTTTTATGTCACCACTGAAACTTTTGATACAATAGTAAGGAACAGTTGAATAAAAATGTATATCGCCAATGTATAACTATAAGCTGAGTGATCAACTAAATTGCAAGCAAAGACAAGTTTAAATTCACCTGGTACTGTTCGCTCGAATCCTACTTGAATTTAAACTTCACCCCATTGCACAAAAAAGTGGCTATCAGGACTCAGTAGTTAGGTAGAGAACGCGATGGTGCTTGAATCGAACGGTACTGGGTTTGAGTCCTGGAGTGAACATCAACTCTGGGATGTAGGTACATCCAGCTGACGAGCCCCGAATAGGAGGAAACGCGCGTTCTGGATTCCACTGTTATCCATCACCCATGTTAGCTAGTAAAGACGAATGTGTTCTGACGCTAAATGGTTAAGTTTATGATCCAATATTATTTTAGTTAGAAAATATGAATATCTCAATTTTGAATAGACGGTTGAATGATATTGTTCTCTTTAGGAGACAGCAAGGTCTCTGGTTCGACATTACATATCGACCGCCATGATCAGAAATCTTGTCTTACACTCATTTAACAGTAGTCATTATTCACTGTTGAATAGACCGTATTTTGGTAAATAGGTATTTGAAGGGGTTTTTGTGGAGATTGTAGTAATTTTAATAGTTGAGATCATGAGTCAATTGAATCTAGACCACCACGAAAAACCTGGAAGCACTGGACGACCGTTCCGTCCTATTGTGGGACTCCTCAGCAGTGCGCACCCACGACTCCGCCTCGAGGGATTCAATTGGTTTTACGTCAGCAAATATTGAACACTATTAATCGACTGGTTCCAACACTACCTTAACTGGAATGAATCTATGAAACATACGACCAACAAATAAAACTTTAGAAAACCCATTAAGCAAACTATATATCATATGCTAATAAGGTGAGTTCCAAACGTTCTAATGGAAAATCATATTGGGAGTAAGACGATTACCACTTGTATCACTAAATAATCAAGTTGGAAATATCATTGGATTTCACCCTAATTGTCGAAAAATGTAACATAATTCACAAGACCTGAAAGTTTTGGGTTTGATAGCTAGAGAGGCTAAGGGTGTTGCTTACTACCGAAAGGTCCACATACTAGGACAAAATATTCCCCATCATTATTAAAATTATCAATTGCTTAGACCAATCATTAAACTAAAAATAAAAATAACACCTACGTGATAACGTTTATGTTCCAGTAATGTTTTAACTGACTCATCAAGAATACATGCATTTTCTTGACGTAATAATGGTGCAACACGAGCTGTATTTGTTGATAAATAACATTTTAATAAACTTGTATCAATTAATTCTAATAATTTAGTATATGACACAATCATTCTACTTCTATCTTTAATGGAATAACATTCAAATTCATTTGTGATAATGATTTGTTGTTGTTGATAGTGTTCATTTCTACTATTTAATAATTGAGATTTTTGAGATTCTTCTATCATTGTGGAATTGAATAGTTTCGATGATTTTATCAATGATTGGATATTGTTTGACTGTTGATTTTTCTTTAATAAACGTCTCCATGTTAATAAATATGTAATTAATGGTTCAAATGCATTAATCATTTCAGATGAACTAATAGTCTTGTGAATGAAAAGTTATTTTAAAAAAGAGAGGAAATAATGAGAAAAAAATGTATCAGAAGGGGTTTTGTGGAGATTGTAGTAATCTAAACAGTTGAGACCATGAGTCCATTGAAGCTAGACCACCATGGAAAACCTGGAAGTACTGGATGGCCGTTTCGCCCCAGTATGGGACTCTTCAGCAGTGCGCATCCACGACCCCGCACCCCGCGAGATTCGAACCCAGGACCTGCCAGTCTCGCGCCCGAGCAATTAACCATTAGACCACTGAGCCGGCATCCAACGGCGTTAATGTCTAACTTCAGTGGTCTAGTTGGCTAAGCGTCTGGCGCGAGACTGACAGGTCCTGGGTTCGGATCTCGCAGGGTGCGGGGTCGTGGATGCACATCGCTGAGGATTCCCATACCGGGACGAAACGGCGGTCCAGTGCTTACAGGTTTTCCATGGTGGTCTAGCTTCAATTGACTCATGATTTCAATCAGTGACATATGGATTTAACATAAACATCTAGTTAACGAAATTTAGACTTTAAAATGATATAGGTTTATAGACTCAGATGAGTGACTTGGAATATTTGACCCTAAAGACAATTTATTTCGTATGGAATTTAGGTTAGAACTTTCTAAATATCTTAATGAACATAAATATTCAGTGGAAATAGTCACTGAATAACGGTTTATATACAAAAATGTTAAAGTTTGGTACGTTTAGTTTTTGATAAGGAAGAGAAAGGAGAATTTTATAATTTTGTTGGTTTTAACCAAATGAATAGAAGTGAAATGATTTTACATGATACAAATAACCATTTGAACTAATGATATATACAGGGAAGTTAATCTATTGTTATTGGTTAATGAGATAATATTTTGATGCATATGAAGAACAATAATACTGCCACTGAAAACGACTAAATTGAAACGGGTTCAAATCAGCAGTCTCGTTTTTAAAAGCACCTTGACTAACCTTCACGTTTTGTTAGTCTATAGAAATAAAATAGCATTAACAGGTTGTCTGTTTTTGAAGGACCTATGAAGCACTAAAACTTTTCCTGGAATATATATATACTGAGAATACGGAACAAGAGAATTCTTTTTTAGTCAGTATTATCAACTTCATATTAACATATAATATAGTTATGAAATAATCTTAAGATATTTAAAGTTCAGTGATTTATCGATCACTTTTGCTGAATAATTTGTGGTTAATTAATAAGATGTGTTGATGATTTTGTTATAAGTGATCAATTACTGAGTGGTGACTATTTTCATGTTTGTATAGTTCTCTAGTAATGAACGAATTCTATAAATCAATTTGAAATTTCCCATTCTAATCTAAGGAATTCGACATCCTGCTTACCATGTTGAAATGTTAGATGATTGAAGGTGATTAGTAAAAGATGATCTTACCTGCATTACATCAGTCAGTAACAACGTAGAACTTCGAACGTACGTACATCAGTTCGAGTTGCCATACTAAATTAGCACAGAGATACCATTGTCGATTCAAATCCTGTAGTGGTAGAGGTAGTAAAAGTATAAGCAGTAATCGGAAAGACTAGGGTTTGAAGATGTTATTGAAGGAGTATAATCCAGCGAAATAAATTCGGAAAGAGAAAAGAGAGATATGATAGCTCAATTACCGGAAAAACTCTAAGCAAGATGGGTAAGGTTGTAAGAAAGAAATAAGCATCGATATAACTATTATTGAATCAAAAACACCGTTCATCATCAGGTTGTTCACATGAACTGATAGCAAAAACAGGGTGTCTAACTACTATCTACGGAGTAGAACAACTAATTGTTAGGTGCTTGGAAGTAGTGGACAAGAATCCCTGATAAGTCTTACTACTTGAACGCTATATTTCGGTTCCAAAGCTATTCTCGTAATCCCCAGGCTAGAACTACACAGCAACCTGAACACGAGAGAAAAGGCGCAAAATATGCGAGAAGCACTTTACTCCAAAGGTTCATTCTTGTACAGAAAAACACGGGTATTTATAAATATTAGCATTTGTTAAATGAACATTATATTTTGACATATTATGCTACTGACCAATAGTAGCATGCCACGTTGATATTTCAGAAAGCTCCATCATGTTCTGATTGGCTGGAACTCTTCGGCCCTTTTTTGGGCCTCTGGAGGCTCCGTTGTAGTTCTCAGAAGCCGACTCAACAATCCTTAGACTTGGATTTTGTACTACTTGGCACTCTACAGTAAGGTGTACGTGTAATCCTGAGGGAACTGGTGCTTCCTGACTGACTCAATCACGCGTAACTCAGCTTCACAGTCTGAGTTAACCAGGCCGTGATTAGTGGAAACATTGAAGCTTGATCGATAGAATTTGATCGGCACAATAAAGGACTACAAAGACATGAGGTTGGTTACTGATTAATGATCAAACGGTTGGAAGTAACTATTTGAAAGTTCAAATTAGTGATAAAAAAGAATAATTAAATTAACGATAACTCTACTTTACAATACAATATATGAAGAAAGCCAGTAGTATTCAGTCATTTTCACTGACCTACTATGTTAATGGTAATCTAGAAATCAGACAGCTATTCAGACGATAGTATTAGCCATAAGGATTCGAAAACCGAAGCTCTGTGCTTAAAAGAACTACCTCCATGCTTACACAAACCAAACTAATGATCGAATACGACTGGGGTAGTAGATACGCACTGGTAAAGAGCCCCATACTAGGATAAAATAGCTTTCCAATGCTTTTTGGTTTATGCTGGTTGATTAACTATGGCCAATCCGTGATGTAAATAGTAAAATAAAACAATTTTCATAAACGTCTCATATTGATATTTATTTTAGATTTAGCTGTATACTATTTGATCATTATTTTTGAACATATAACTATGAGAAATGTTATTTCTGACAGTTTTTCATGTCCCTTTCTTTTTTCTCTTTCGAAATTTATTTCACTGGATTATACTGCTTGCATAACATCTCCAAACCCTAGTCTTTCCGATTACTGCGCATACTTTTACTACCTCTACCACTACAGGATTTAAATCGACAACTGCATCTCTGTACTAACGCGGCATGGCAACTCAAACTGATGTACGTACGTTCGAAGTTCTACGTTGCTACTGACTGAATGAGAAATCTTATTAGAATTAAGTGTAGAAGAAAACTGGAGAAAAAAGAAACGACGATTACATTTTTCAGAAAAATGTGTTTAGACATTAACTTACTTTGATATCACAAGAATGTTCTATTTGATGTTGTTCTTGTTCAGATAACATACCAGGAAATAAACCAAGTACATGTATTGGATTAATTAATTGTTCAGTGAATAGATTTAATGCCTCTGAATACTTTTTTTCATGATATAAATAAATTGCATACAATATAGTAATTTGTAATGTTTCCACAGGATTTTGACCACTATATAATGAAGTTTTGGCTAAACAAATAGCCAATTCAAATTCCTAAATAAATAAGATAATGTAGCTGAATATAGTTAACATTTAATGCACATTATGGAAGAATATAACCAGTAGAATATTATAATGTTATCATCTTGCACAAGATCCACAGTAATCTAAAAACAATTATACTACCTTAGTATTAAACAAATTAAAAAAATATCATTAGTGCACTTCTGTAGTATTTATACTGAGGTCCCTCAACAAAAATACTAATCATACAAATGTATGATAAGTGATTTATCAAGTGATATCAATCCATAAATTCATTGATTATTGGAATATATAATTTTGATAAATACAAACTATCTGGTATGGTTTCTTGCGATTATCGAAGCAAATGGTTGGAGACGATGGATGATATGACTAAGATGCATTTATTCTTTTACTTAGAATAATGATTGTTTTTATCTCGTGAAATCTTTTCTTTGTTCTCGAATCATATCTTTTATATACAATATTTTCTACTACTATTACTACTGTCACTACTTCTCTGACATTAATTTTGATAAATTCATCTCACTTAGCTGATGTGGTGTGGCTACTCGAAGCAGTATATATATCTTCCGAGGTTTAGGTTGATTATGACTGTTTGAATGACCAAGTGTGATTAATTTACTCGACCGTGATGGTTAATTTTTTTTGACGTGAAAAAGCTAGTTATACCGACAAACTTTAAAGATAGAAGCAGATGAGATCAAGCTTTCAACCTACAGCTTAGCAATCTACATCAATAATGTAAACAGGAGATTGTAGTTCAGAAAGTCTAGTAAAGAATGGTTTAAATTATCAGGTCGTATTTTTCATAGGGTGATCTCAGTTGAAGTGTCATTAAAAATCAGAGGAAACTGGGCAGTTGTTTTGTTTTAGTGTGGGATCTATGGAGACTGCGCACCCATGACCCGACCAGCGATTCAACTCAGGAATCTTCAGGTCTCGTAGCACACACTTAACCATTCGAACCATTTGATGGGCAACTTTAATCAATGTGACATGTCGTAACGATCATCCGATCTCATTAGTAGCAACGGTTTCGCTCCCGACATGTTTGGACTGCATCAGTCGCTGTTGAGGATATCTACATCAGGACGAAATAGCTGTTCAGAGTTCATAGGTTTCCAGTTGTATCGTAAATGAAACTAATTTGTGAGGAATATAACTTACAACAAGAGTACGTGACGACTAAAATTTTTTAATGAAGTTCGAAAACCCATCTACCAATAATAAACTCGCTGAGTCCAGTAAAGAACAAAATCTTATCATAAACAGTAAAGTAAGCGGTTCTATCAAAATCAGTCTTTTAAAAAATTTACCAAAAACATGAGGAAATCAGTATCAAACAAACAAGATGATTAATTGAAATGTTTGTCGGTTCAAGGAAAGTAAAAATGAATGCTACATGTATTATGAAGACTGTACTTTCATAGAATATATACCCCTTACCATAGAAGATAGAACTTTAAGATATTGAAATATTATGACAAGAGTGTTATTATTAGTAAACAAGATAGAAAATTACAATTTGATAGTTTTAAACTTCAGTATATATTCATTATTGTAATTATTTAATGTATATTAGTGCAGAAATAAAAATTTGAACAAAGTATTTGTTCAATGGTCATTTGTTTCAATTGGTCCTTCGAACTAAAAACTTACTTAAGGTTTATTCATTTGATACTAATTTAACTAATGATTAGTAGTTGACATCAGAAAAGTTTAGATTAGGTTTAGAATTTGTTTATATGTCATATAAGAGAGTTAACTCCTTCTGTAGCTCTTCTAGAAATATCCAAACCCAGGTAAAGGTTGAGGGTTCGGCAAACCCATCCCATAGAAAAAAATCTCGCTAAAAAACGTCAACCAGATGAAATAAATTAAACAACTTAAACTCTGCCCTCCGAGTTCAAGGAAGAATTGTGATGCATCATGATGAAAGCCGAGATTTTCGAAAGTCATGAGACCGATGCCCCTTCTAACTAAAAAAAACAACTTATATAGGTACATGGAATGTCCGGACAATGTGGGAGACCGGAAAGACCAATCAAATAGCTATACAAATGAAGAGATACAACTTGGCAGTGCTCCGAATCAGCGGAACCCATTGAATCCAAACTGGACAATAAAGGCTAGATACGGGAGAGATGCTGCTGTACTCTGGTCACGAAGAGGAAAATGCGTCGCACACACAGGGAGTTTCTCTGATGCTGTTCACACAAGTACGAAATGCACTTATAGGATGGGAATCCAGGATCATCAAAACACCCTTCAAAACAAAGGAGAGAATTACGAAGAATGTTATCCAATGTTATGCACCAACGAATGATAGCAATGACGACAATAAAGATCAGTTCTACAAGAGGCTGAGCTCCATCATAGCAAAGTGCCCAAGAAAGGATCTCATCATGATGATGGAAGACCTGAATGCCCAAGTCGGAATGGACAACACCAGATATGAAGATATCATGGAACGACATGGACTGGGAGACAGAAACGAAGATGGGGAGAGATTTGAAAATCTGTGTGCATTCAACAAATTGGTTATAGGTGGCACAACATTCCCACAGAAACGCGTACACAAAGCTACATCACCGGATCACACTAAACAGAACCAGATCGAATATATTTACGTCACTTAAATATCCATAAGAACAATGGAAGACGCGAGAACTAGGAGAGGAACTGACATAGCTTCAGATCATCACCTGGTTGTGGCCAAGATGAAAGTGAAGATAAAGAAACACTGGACAACTGGAGAGACAGCATTACAAAGGTTCATTACAGCCTTCCTTCGACATACTGACAAACTCAGCGAATTCAAAATAACTCTCAACAACAGGCTCCAAGCCTCATAGGATCTACTCAAAAAGGAATAAACAACGATCAAGGACAACTGGAAAAGCAACAAAAAAACACTAACTTCAACATGTCAGGAGGTTTCGGATCGCAAGAAGCATCATCATGATAAATGGATCTCTACCGAAACCCTAGACATGATTCAAGAAAGGAAGAACAGGGAGATAGCAGTTAAGAAAAACCGAACACGAACAGAGAAAGTCAAGGCACAAGCCGAATACACAGAAGTAAACAAGCATGTGATAAGGAGCATTAGAGCTGACAAGCAGAAATACGTGGAATACCTAGCAACGACAGTGGAAAAAAGCTGCAAAAGAAGGAAGTATAAAACAACTGTATGACACAACGAAGAAACTGGCAAGCAATTACAGTAAACCAGAGAGATCGGTCAGGGAAAAAGAAGGTAAGACAATAACCGAGATTCAAGAACAGAGGAACAGATGGGTAGAATACTTCGAGGACCTCTTGAATAGACCAGCTACAATGAACCCACTGGACATCGAAGCAACACCTACAGACCACCCTGTAGATGCCACTTCACCAACGATCGAAGAAATCAGGATGGCCATCAGACAAATCAAGAGTGGAAAAGCAGCAGGACTTGACTATATACCACCTGAACCACCGAAGTCAGACATAGAAGTAACTGAAAACATGCTCCACGTTCTAGTCAGGAAGAACAAGTGCCGACAGACTGCAAAGAACGACACCTCATCAAGATACCAAAGAAAGGAGATCTGAGCAAGTATGAGAACTACAGAGGAATCACACTACTGTCAGTACCAGGAAAAGTTTTCAATAGTGTTGCTGAACTGGATGAAAGACTCAGTAGATTTCTAGTTTCGTGATCAAGAGACCGGATTCCGTAAGGATCGGTCGTGCACAGACCAAATCGCAACACTATGGATCATCGTTGAACAATCAGTTGAGTGGAACTTGTCACCATACATCAAATTCATTGACTATGAGAAGGCATTTGAAAGTGTGGATAAGAGGACCTTATGCTAAATTCTTCGATACTATGGTGTACCTGAGAAAATCGTCAACATTATCCGGAATTCATACGACAGACTACAGTGCAGAGTCGTGTATGGAGGACAGCTCATGAATGAATTCCAAGTGAGGAGCGAAGATAGACAAGGCTGCTTATTCTTCCCCTTCCTTTTCCTCCTGGTGGTCGACTGGATTATGAAGACCTTGACATTTAAGGGGAAGCACGAAAAACAGTGGACAGCTTAGATGCAACTAGACAACTTGGACTAAGCAGATAACCTGACCCTCCTATCCCATACACACGAAAAAAATGCAGGTCAAGACAACCAGTGTAGCACCAGCCTCGATAGCAGTAGGCCTCAAGATACACAAAGGAAAGGCAAGATCGTCAAATATAACACGGAGAACACCAACCCAATCACACGTGATGGAGAAGTTCTGAAGCTCCGCATACCTGGGCAGCAGCATCGATGAACACGGTGGATCTGATGCAGATATTAAGACAAGGATTGGCAAATCAAGGTCAGCACCACCCAGTTGAAGAACATATGGGACTCAAAACAACTGTCAGTCAACATCAGTCAGAATCTTCAATAAGAACATCAAGACAGTTCTACTGTGGGGAACTACAACAATTATCATCAAGTATTTATAAACAGTTATCTACATAAGATACTCGATATCCGTTGGTGGGACGCCATCAGCAACAGATAATATTTATTTATTTGAACACAAATATTGGTACAAAAGAGGCACCGAATACACAAGTCACTTGATTTGTGTGTAGGGGTTCGGATAGTGCCCGGATGCCCAGACCGAAGCAGCAACAACCTATTGTGGGAAAGGACAAATCAGCTTCTAGAAAAAGATGAAATTAAAAAAAAGATGTTGGAAGTGGATACATTACGGAAATCACCAAACTGCATCACGAGGCAAGCCCTAACTTAGAATTTTGGAGGGAAATGGAAGATAGGAAGGCCGAAGAATAAACTACTTCGGGAATTGGAAGCAGACATGAAAAGGATGAATAGCAACTGGGAAGAACTGCCCAGGACAGGATTGGATGGAGAGTGCTGGTGAGCAGCCTATGCTCCTCCACGAAGGGTAACAGGCGTAAGTAATAAGAGTTGAAATGCTTTATTAGATAACAGACGTTTAAGACAATAGAAAATAAAAAGAATGTATGTATTGTGTACTTTAATTTTATCTTGCTTTGGATCACAATCATCAAAATCTAGTAGCGTAAATTTAGAAATATAAAGGTCATTATTTTCTTTTTAAAATACTTTATCATAAGGTGTTATTATTACCTATATACAATGAACATAATGACCAATTTATAACAATGTGAATATAATTCCATGTAATAATTTTTTTAAAGTACGATGTTTACACACTTTTATAAGAATTCAATCTAACTGATCGATTTCTTTTATGTATGTACGTGGTGTATGCTAACTATGTCGACAGACACCGAATGGAAGTGAAAACCCTGGTAGCAGAAGGCTAAGAAGATGAAGTTGGAGAGAATGGAAAGAAATTACGAATAGGAAGAATCATATAGAATATGAAAGACAAATGGTGGAAATTTGCAAATGAAGTATTCAATGTATAGTTCTCATATTTTATCACAACATTCTTTAATTGCGTATTAAATACATAAGTTGCCCCACTTGCATATTAGACATGCAGAGACAAAAATACTGACATATTGAAGCTGGTTAGAATTCATACTCTTAAATTATACAGTTAGCTAATTACACACCTTTGAATACACTTACAGATATAAATACCATCTCTAAAAGCAGACAATAATGATTTTACTAACATTGTTTACCTTTTTTTCAACTAAATTTTGAATAAATTTTAATCTGTTCGCTGATAATATAAGCCAAATTTCATTACCGCTGTTATTTTTACCACGTACAACAGAAGAATCATTATTGATTGATTCTGTTACAGTAACTTTTTGTTGATAAGAAAAAGAATCTGTAGAGAAAAGTGTATTAGTTGTAGGGGCAGGAGCTGTGCTTGCATAAAACCATCCACATTTTGAATAACACATTGATGTAACACGAGTTATAGCCAATTGTTGGATTAATTTATTAGGATTTAAAATACGAATTTCCAATGTATTATCCATAGTCTAATAGAATAGAAAAAGAAAATATTAGTTGTATAAAGTAATATATTTTAGCTTAACAGTAAACATAATTCAAATGGATATGAGCTTCTGCATTCGGTCTTAAATTATGCTGTTGAAGCTCTATTTTCATTTGCTAGGGTTTTAACGCGAATACATATTCGGTCATTTCATGCATTGACGCATTGTATTAGATATGCAGCTCCGAAGTTTCTTCTAGCCTCCTATCTTGGTCACCAATGTAGTTTACGGTATAAGATGGTTCAGATAGATATATCTTATACCTAACTAATATGCACTAGCAAAACTAGATATGAAAGAAGTAAATACAAATAAGGAATGTGACACTTCTCTAAACAATTGACACACTTTAAAGGGAAACACTCACAGTAGTAATGTACGAAATATGTTGATCAAAGTGATACATTTTCCACACGATACATAAATTTCAACTCAATAAAGTACATTTTGAATAACATCTTAAAATATACTTGACAATACAATTTATCCACTACATGATAAACACGATTATTTCTTATATTCAAAGTTGTTTCAACTAGACTTTTTATTTGAAACACTTGAGAATGATTCTGGTTAATTCATCAAACTCATGTAGAGTGACGGATAAGTGATAAATATACAATAAATACGAAGTTATTATGTTTGCAAAATTCAACAGCCTATAACTTACTATTTATTGTAATTGTTGAAAACATAAGTAAACAAAAAATACCAGAATATGACCCGAAATCAATATGACTGGAAAATTATTTTCATTAGATTAAAAAAGATAAGTTCATTATGCACTCAAATGAATCTATAAGCATATTAGTTGAACCCATGGAACCAATGAATTGTTTATTATGAGAAATAAGGTAACTTACTTCAGGGTGAAGATTAATTTTCTAGCATTTGAGATTTATTTATCGAAGTTACACACCTCAGTTATTTTCATTTCTGTTAGATTAGAGTGAATAATTGGTAGAAATCGGACATTTAGAACTATTTTAGGAAGAATTATTATGTATATTCTCATTGTGTAATTATTAAATAATTGGTTTATGGTTTTTTCATATCGCTCATATTGAAAGCTTTCATTTCATTCACAAACTGACATTACACTTTTTTTACCTTTCCTAGATTATTGTTAATTGATTATGTACCTAATGATCAGTTCTGTAATACATTAAAGTTAGTTATGTAAACTATTATTTCTTATTTGTGGTGAGAAGACCCCAAATGCCCTGGTACAGCCGAGAGTGAAGAGAGTCCACCCTCCCTCTTGAAATGCTCTCTCATAGCCACGCGTATATAGCCTGTCAGGGAAGTCCTACTCACTGACTTCTCGTAGTGGGGGTGTTGTTTACGAAATTAAGAGGACGAAAAACGAATTTCCGGCGCTTAAACCGCGTTGGTGGACACGGAGAGTTCACATACGGGAGTTGGAAAACCCTGATTCCAAACCAATGGTGCACATGGGATCCAGTATCCAGAAGGAACAAATGGTGTATGAACCAATCGTTGGTCACCGGCTACCATGAGACTGCATTTCCTTACGTTGCTTCACTGCCTTGTGCATCAGACCTTTAGGTCGAAGGCTCCGGGTGTGGCCCCCTAAGAAAACCACCTGCTTCGGTTTGGGCACCTGGGCAGTATCACAGCTCTCACACATATCTAGTGAGAATTGTGTGGCGCATATGTATTTGGTGCCTTCTTGTACTAATATCTATGTGTTAAAATAAATAAATGTAATTAGTGAATAAAATCTTCAGCTTTTCAGTTAGAAAAACAATCTAACAATAAAAGATAAATTTCTTTGTGGCCTTTATGGTCTAATTGGCTACTGAGAATAGAAAGAGTTACAGGATCAATAGAAATTAAAATTTCTGGTCATGATTCATGGTTATCAGTAAGATCAGAATACAGCAAAGCGTTCATAAGCAGATTCTATGATCTCGTGAGCAGTATAAAGAAATTTGAAACTGAAAACAATTTTCGGACACTAATCAAAGGAACAGAAATTGCTAACTTCACAATTAATGAATACCTACGTTAGTAAGATGATAAGTTTATTCCTGAACAAATGTTTAGGACTTTTACTAGTAATGTCATGATTGATTGTATGAAGTAATAACATGCAAAACTCATTATAATCGTTGGTTTACCAACTAATTTTTGAAAACAAATTAAATATTTCATGTTTTTCGAATCAAATCAAGTCGATCAGACAAGTGTATAATGAAAAATCCTAGTGATTAAATTTATCCATTTAATATTTAAACTGAAATAATGAGAATACCATAGTTATACTTTTGATAGTACGAGCCAATAAGAAATGTAGATTTTGTCTTTGATTATTAAATCCCCCAGTTTTACACAAATTCAATATTTCTACGTTATCAATTAATATTTCTACTGTATGGCGAACTCCTATAACAATCATCAAAAAAGTAAACTATTATCTACGCAAGATACTCTGTATTCGTTGGCCGGATACCATCAGCAAAAACCTACTGTGGGAGAGAATAAACCAGCTCACACCTGAAGAGGAAATTAGGAAAAGATGTTGAAAGAAGATAAGACATACATATTGAGAAAATCATCAAACTGCATCACCAGGCAAACAGTAACCTAGAAGACTGAAAGGAAAAAGAAAACAAGGAGACCAAGTAACACATTGAGTCGGGAATTGGAAACAGACAACAGAAAAATGAACAGCAACTGAAAACAACTAGGAAGGATTGCCCAGGACATAGTTCGATAGAAAATCCTTGTGAGCAGCTTATACTCCTTCACGAGGGGTAACAGATGAAAATTAGTAATTAATCATTAATATCACATCTGATGTAAGGTTAAGAAAACACATTTTTGGATACATTTTACAATTATACATTTCATTATATTATTATGGATAACAAATAAGATTAATTTTCCCCCTAGTAGCAAAAAATTATTTATTATGTATACATGGTTAAACTTTTATTTAAAATGATAAAAGTAGACATCAAATGAAAAAGAGATATTGACAATATATAAATGAGTACACAAATTTACTGAAATTGTTTCTTAATCAAACAAACAATTAGTGATTTCTAGTAAATAAAAATAAAAATAACTCAGTGAAAGTCGTCAGAGGTATTAATGTAGTGAACAAGAACACGGGTGGGGACAATCGAATGTATTTAGCACAAAAATTACAGACTATCTCAATAAAATCTGAATACCATAAAGTCAATCGTCAATTTGCAAAATATCTTTCCATCATATCAAACTGTACTGTTCCCGTTGCAAACACTAATCCATTGTCTCCCATTCCATTGTACATGCGTTTTCTTATAATTTCCATTGTGATCTCGCTCTTCCTTTCTTGATCTTCGCCATCTTCTGCTGCCGGACATTACGTTCTTTTAACGCACGTTATATACTACTTATATCAATATAAGTAGCTCACAGCACATTAAGACTGGAAAAACTTTACTAAGTAGTAAATATGCATATAACTTATGAGATTAGTAGTAGTAGTAGAATGCAGTGTTTTCAAATTTAAGCATTGACATTGAATCTCCATATATGATATTGTTTAATACTGATAAACTCATATTATGATGGAAATTTCATTGTTATACTTCCCAATCTTTTGTTAATGGTACCCCATATTGGATTCCTTGAGTGTATACCTTGATATTATCTGTAGTCTGATATATTTTTGGATGATCCCTATCAGTGAAGAACGGGATATATTGTCTTCACGATTAGTAAAAAAATATATCACATATAGTGTATATGTTAGTGATTATTATAGTTCAATGGTCTAATGAATAACTACATGGAGTTTGAGATGATGGGTAGTACTAGGATCGAATCTTAATGTACACGTCAATATTAGGGATGAAGATACATTCAAATGACGAGTTCTAAATACAACTAAAAATGTATTCTAGGATTTAAAACTAATATAATTGGAAGATCAAGTTAATAATAATATGACTATGTCAAACTTACCCCAATTATATAAGGTGGAAAAATACGAACTTGGTATGGTACATTTGACCATTTAATTTGAAATATAGACTTATATTCATGAAATGGTGAAATAACAGATAATATATCATCACGTCCAATTCCTACAAATGTACATGAACCTGGTAACATTGGCTGATAATATTGATTCAATGAAGATTGATCATTATTATTTTCATCATTATTATTATTATCTAATATGGAGTGATTTAATGAATTTTCTGAATTAATAATGAATGAATTCATTGTTGAATTTTTAGAATAATAAAATTTATCAAATATACAAGAAGAATCAGATTCATTCAAATTAGATGAATTAAAACAATGAGAAAGTGATGTAATTATTGGCAATTGATTTTTGCCAACAGCTGAAATTAACTGCATCTAAATATGTAGATTTGAAAAAGGTATTTTTTTTAAAAAATGTAAGCCAAATTTGAAGGATGAAAAATGCGAAAAAGAAAGTAGTACAGACCATTTCAAAAGTAATAATTATTATTACTACATTAGCACTAGGATACCAGAATACAAATAGAAGTGAATGATTATTTATAGTAAACATTATATTGTAAAGAACAAAAATGTTAAGGAGATTAAAGATATTTATTATTAGTCAGTCAGTCAGTACCTGCTTCGGTCTGGGCACCCGGGCAGTATCACAGCCCACACGCACAAATATGGTGTGGCGCATATATATTTGGTGCCCTCTTGTACCAATATTTATGTGTTGAAATAAAATAAAGTCAGTCAGTAACAACGCACAACTTCGTACGTACGTGCATCAGTTCGAGTTGCCATACCACATTAGCACAGAGATGCGGTTGTCGATTTAAATCCCGTAGTGGTAGAGGTAGTAAGAGTATAAGCAGTAATCGGGAAGATCAGGGTTTGGAGATGTTATTTAAAAGATATTTATTATAGTGATTTAAAACACTTAACATGGATTCTGTCTACCTAACTAAGTGATTGCTACTTGATGAGGTATTTTGGCGCGAGCTAATCTAATAGGATCACAAGTGTAATACTATACGAATGTTGCAATAAAGACAGATCTTCATTTTGTAATAAATTAACAATATGACCCTTTAAAAGTGGTTCATCAATTTTTCCAACTATACAGAAGTAGGTTCAACCTTGTTCTATCATTAACAGTTGTTCAATAATAATTACTGGAAGCAGCATTAATAATCTGCAAAAATTCTTATTTCCTCACAATTGTGATCCAGTAAATAGAGATTTTACTTGGTTATTTATTATTAGGATAAAAATCTTGTATAGATTAGTCGATTTTTGAAGATGAAGTTAAGAACCTACAATCCTACTTTGCCGGGAAGATTTATACTATGATGATGCATGTATTCTGTACCTCCTAGTTTTCAATGGTTACTTAGTTCAAGTCAGTCGGTAACATGAACTATTTATTGTTAACTATTTGTCATTATTTAGCATCAGAGTTAATTGTTTCCTATGTCAAATATGAACTTGATATGGTACATTTGACCATTTAATATCGATTCACTCTGTTGAGATTACGAGACGAATATTGCATGTAATAACTTCATCTTAACGTGTTATTTATTTATGAACAGTTATTTGAATGCAATATATTAAAATACGATTGTACACTTTTATACGTGGGAATATATTTTCGCTTTAAAGAAAATATGCTACTTTGTATTATAAGTAGTTGGATATTATTCATTAAATACAAATATCTTTTCTAGCTGAATTGAAGTAATGTCAATATCGCGAAGTTCTACTTGTTTACATCTAAATCTACATCAGCGATGCACGTAAATTATCAGTTTGTTCAACTCGTTACGACTGATGATATCATGTATAGTATAACTACAGTAATACAATTAATTGAGACTCAACACACAACAATTAATAACGCGATTACGCACTCGATCTGCACTAAAATCCTAACACATAAGAAGACACGTGAACACACCAAATTGTATGACTGTTATCATCGCTAACAATCACATAAAGACAAATGCAAGAGTACTTAAAACGTAATTTGGTCTACTGTTAAGAATACGACTTTCAGTGGCTGAAAATATAAATTTTGTGCGTGATTTTGAACAATGACAATTCAAGAATATTTTTGTTTCTAAGCAACTTTTTAAAAAGCAACACATTTTCTAACATCAACACAGAGGGTAGTTTAGGACTGTTGGAGATTGTACAACTTACATGAATAGTGTGAATTCTTCCTGAATATTACTGTAATTCCAGATTGACAAAAAGCTACTGAGCTAAACTTTAATAGGGTAGTATATATGTTTAGCGACTGAATCACTCGGAATTGATGTATGAAACTAATCGATTTTTCTTGATTATATGAGACTACTTACATTCATTAAAAGGGAAATTTCACTTCTAAACAAGTTGATGTTCTAAGTTTATAATCTTATTACGTTGAAGCGAAGCATTCCAATATTTTTTGAAATTAATGTGAAGAACAGGACTATAACTGGTAACTTGGAAAGTGAAGTCGTATCTAAATACTGAAAGGTTATTTCTCATTCATTCAAAAAAATAATTCAACCTCTTTTAACTGATTTTTGACTTGAGATTTTATAATTTAGATAAAATCAAAGGATAACTGTTTATTCGTCCCTTGGACATGCAAACAAATATTTGACTGAAGATGAAACTAGAGTTAGTCAATGAATACTGTCGTTATAAAAATTCTTATCACATTTATCATCCTAACAGGGATGATGTACGTGATAATAAAGGGTATTATAAACTATTTGGCAATTTTATTCGTAAAGTTAAAATTAGATCCAAAACGTTTAACCGCAACAAGTAATCGGAAATGCACATAGTAATCATTTTAAATAACCGAATAACACTATGGTTTACTCGCTGAAAAATTATGTTTTATTCAGGTTTGTATTTGAAAAAGTGATCTATCTCTTTCATATTATAATTTTGTTTATGTAATTGCTAACTTAATGTTTTTGAAATTAATTGACATGCATGAAACAAATTTTGTTAACATATTATAGTATCTTGTGATAATATATATGTGAGTAAATATAACAATATATCGATATAACGTGATAGACAAAGGATTATAGTGCATACTGTGTGTTATGTTGTTGAGCTTATCAGAACATGTGCTATCTTTTTCCGTAGACTTTTAACTAGCATTTTACTACTGAAAACTGTTACAGATAATTGTAGATAATGAGAAAAAAAGGTAAACTGCGTTTAACTTTAAATTTTGAAGATTAATCACCACGCGCCATTCTGAATGACTGAATACCACTGTGATGTATTCTACATATGCTGACAGATATAAGTAGTATGTGGCACCCATAGGAAGTGAAATGCCTAGCAGCAGAAGACTGAAATGAAGAGAATAGAAAGGAACTCGGAAAGCAATCGAAATGACAATATAAGTGGAGTAATAGTGGAGTATTAGAAGGAAAACGCAAAGAAGTGGAAATGACGTATTTCATCTACCATTTTCAGACTTTATTAAACCACTTTGTAACTTTGCGTTAAACAATAGATTGGTTATCCTCGGCTGAGTCCTCGTTCATTACACCATAAGTCAAAAAGGCTTAGATGGTATCCATAAAAGTATTATTCTATCACACACGCAACAACAAATGCAGGAGAAGACGATCAGTGTAGTAGCAGCCTCAGCAGTAGTAGGTCTTAACATACACAAAGGGAAAAGCAATATTCTCCGATACAACATAGCATGCACCAATCGAATAACACTTGACGGAGAAGATTTGGAAGATGTGAAAACCTGTACATATTTGGGCAGCATCATTGATGAACACGATGGATCTGATGCACATGTGAAGGCGCGGATCGGCAAAGCAAGAGCAGCATATTTATAACTGAAGAACATCTGGAACTCAAAAAACTTGTCAACCAATGCCAAGGTAAGATCTTTCAATACAGATGTCAAAACAGTTTTACTGTATGGAGCGGAAACTTGGAGAACTACGAAAGCCGTCATCCAGAAAATACAGGTGTTTATTAACAGTTGCCTATGCAAAATACTCCGGATCCGTTGGCCAGACACTATCAGCAACAACCTATTGTGGGAGAGAACAAACCAGATCCCAGTGGAGGAAGAAGCGCTGGAAGTGGATAGAACACACATTGAGGAAAGCACCGAACTGCATCGCAAGGCAAGCCCTCACTTGTAATCAAGGCCAAAGGAGAAAATGAGTACCAAAGAACACATTACGCTGCGAAATGGAGACAGGCATGAGAAGAACGAATAACAATTGGATAGAACTACAAAGGAAGGCCCAGGACAGAGTGGGTTGGAGAATACTGGTCGGTGGCCCATGCTCCGTTGGGAGTAAAAGGCGAAAGTAAGTAATAAAAGTAGTAAGTTAATTATATTGAAGAAGTATCCAGATGGTCATTAATAAACAAATATACTATGAATTTTGTGTTAAAAGGTTTGGAACTATACCGTTGTTTAAATTCATGACTCAATAATTTTGTGAACAACATGTTGGTGTTTGAAACAATAGGTATCAGTTTTAAGTCTTAATATGAACAATAATACTATGATCTAGGGATCTTTAGTTATGATGTCTTGAACAAGACAAAACTCGGATCCTAGATTCTATTTAGAGGCACAATTTATGAAAAACAAAAATTAACGTTGTTTGTTCATTGTGAATATATTCACTCTGCTCATTTGGTGACGAGTAAACTTTTCAAACACTGTAATATTTTATGATCGTTATAACAAGTGGCTAATCAAAAATTTGAATCAAATACTTTAATGTTAGTTAGTGAGTTCCATATGAAAAAATCTCTGATATCATGAAGATAAATTATTGTAAGCATTATTATTTATTAGTTTATTAGTAAATGTTTAGTTTACTGAGATTATTTAAAGAAATCACTTTATGAACATAAGAGAAAGAGCTTTTTCATCATGCTTAAAGTCATGGCTGATATATTGATAGAACATTCATTCGGTAAGAAAATTCTGTTTGAAAGAATTTGTTAGATGCCAACCCAGTGGTCTAGAGGTTAAGTCTTCGCGTGTGAGACCGAAAGTTTTCAGTTCTAGTCCCGAGTGCGAGGTCGTGGATGCGCACCACTGAGGAGTTCCATAGTAGGACGGAACGGCAGTCTAGTACCTCTAGGTTTTTAATGGTGGTCTAACCTAGAACTTTTTGTGATTTTAATAGAATTAAACGACCCCCACAACCCCTTACTGACAATTTATCTCTCGAAAATTATTGTAAGTAGACGGAACTTAATTAGAACTTAAAAACAATGATATTTGGTGATTCGTAGTGAAATTTTAAGATGTACATTCGGTTCTATTTGAAACCCACCAACTAGATACGATTGTAGAGCGGTATCTAATTGGTTAAAGCGTCCAACTTACAGCCACTAAGTCGCAGATTTGAACCAGCTTCCACTTACTTGCGTTTGAATAACCGAGTTGTATCTACAGCACTCACACTCAGATTGCGACTGAAAGCCAAGGATATGAATTAACACCTGGTAAATGAACTGAACTAGAGATGCTTAAATATTTTGTTGTTACTGTTAAAATGAAGTATGATCAGCACTAGTGACTACAGTTAACAACGATTACTACTAACTGATCAATTATTATTGAAACTCATCTACCATAATTATTACCAGATGCTTGCTAATGGACAGCTACTAGATGAATTTCTCAGTTTCAATGAGAAGCTATGACTTGTGAAGTTAATCAGTCAAAGAAGAAAACAGTAGTTTATTAATGACGCTGGATCATGGTTTGGTTATTTTACAAACTGATTGAAGTCGAGAAATATGACCCGCTGAAAGTCAGCCGAGCAATTCAAATAGTAATATGCTCAGCAGAAGACCTAAAGCTTGTGGGTTTTGTTCTTGAGGGCTTTGTAAGTGTTTAGTAATGGAGCAATAGCCTTACAGGTGATACCAGTTCGTAATGATAACTAAAAAGCAACAAGAAGGACTCTACTTAGATTACTCACAATTTCTTCGGTAATGACTTTGCCTATATGACATGACAAAAGTTAAAAATTAGTGAATTAACTGGCTAGCAATAAGAACATACCTCACCACTAATAATATTGATTAATAAATATTCACCTCGATGTCCTACAACAAGTTTTGATAGTCCGCAAAATGAAATCGATCGAACAACTTCTGGAATAGTCATTTCATTTGGCCATGAAGGTGTAAGTAGATCATCTGATCCTCCAGGGCATACAAATTCACGTGTTTTAGGATTCCATCTCCAAAAGTATAAATGACGCTTCACAACAACACAAATGCGTAATTCTAAAGAATTTGATTTTGAGTCTTTAGAATTTTTTGATTCATTTAAAATACTTTCAGAGGATGATGACTGTGATTTGTTTAACGATAATGAATTGCCTATTTACATTAAAAATATAATTTGTAAATAATCATATTAAACTAATAGTATAAACGAAAATGTTTAATTATTATACAAACCCATGATAATTTCTTTCGAAACTATAAATGGCACATTAAATTATATGTAATCTATCGTTTTAAGGAATTGACCAGTCTAGAAGTTGCTCTTATAAATTAACATGGATAGAAGCAAGACAGAAAATTAGCCAAGTTAAACAACTGTTTCATCTAAGACTTAGTAATTAAAATATTTGACTATTAACCAGTAGAGTAGTATGCTTTAGTTCCGTTTCACCAATGTCAGTTTGAAAAGTCGGTTACTATGAGTAATCATAACGTACGAAATGTAACCGAAAGCCGAGTACACAAACCTGTATCAGGTTACGTAGTAGTGTGTACACTCATGATATATTTCATGTTCGAATACTTTTGAGCTATGCTGGAGTTGATTACACTTGGAAAAAATTAAGTGATCAATTGCAATCTAATGATTATGGATTAGAATGTTGATTGTTAAACTCAGAAATTAGGTTCGACTTTTTAACATATTAACGTTAAACGCTGTTGAGATGTCTGGTGCTCGATAACTACTTAGAAGTTTTCGCACTTGGTTGTCAATGACGCATTTCGTGTGAACGCGAACGACACTATCTAGCTTCCCAAACCAAAGTAAGTGGGGTAGGATCCAGGCATGAGAAGTGTTCGCATTCCCAGTACTTGAATTAGTAAGCCGCCGCTCCTAATGATAATTTGAAATGGTCAGTGATCACAGGCAGAATTAGTAAACCACAGTTTACTGTACTGTTTTCACTTTGACAAATTGTTTCGTGCTGTTTCATGTAGAATAGAAGCCAGTGGCGATCCTGCTGTAACCTTCTTTTACTTTCTTCATAAAAAATGGTTATTTCTTCCTTAACTTAAAGATTTCTTCTGATTGTACCTTTCCAATTTCCCCATTATTACTATTATTATTATTACACTACCTTACACTAATCTGTTCGTTATTGTTCTTTGTTGTTCTCTTCGAATTCTCATTGTTTTGTGTGGCGCATATATATTTGGTGCTCTCTTGTACCAATATTTATGTGTTCAAATAAATAAATAAAATAAATTGTTTCATGTATGGCTAAATAGGTAATAACAAGATACAATATATCCACAGTATTCCGCCTTGTTTGACCTGACTGTTGTAACGGAGAAAGTGCTGCTGTAATATTTGATATTGAAAACTATAGTAATTTTAACGACCCAAATAAGTAAAAGAATATTTTATTGAAGACGTCAAAAGACACTAACGGTAATGAAATAATACACCCATTTAATGATTTTAAACAAACTTGATGACTGGTTAGCATGCATCAGGTATGGAGAAAATAAATAGAATTGCTACAATAAAACCTATAATACACAACATACTAAACACAGTTCACAATAAATACAAAAAATTATCCTTAGTAGACGTCACAGTGCGAAAAACCAATACTATACAAAATACAACACAGAAAATGAAACATATTACGTTGAGCAATTACCAGACTGAGTCATGTTGAAGAGAAATTACAGAATTGAAAAGGCATGATCTAACTTTTTTGTTCCGTCATATCAAGTGGAGGGTTTAGTGGCTACTGCGTCACACGGCCACTTCATCTAATCTGACTTGTAGGAACTTTAATAAGAACTAGTGACTTAATAGTAAAAAGTAGAAATGACATGAAACTTGAGCTTTATGAATTAGAACAAGCGAAAGTGAGTGACAAAGAATTACTAAAAAAATTTTAAGTGTAGAAAGACAAAGAGTCGACCGGAATCGGTTAAATTAGCAGTACGTATGCCAGAAATTTCGATGAAAATTGATCTATATTTATAGTCGTTAACCAATTACGAAAAAATATAAATATATAAATAAAAAAGTATAAATACCTGTTATGTTACATGAGGATACAGTTGAAACCTTTGAATATTGCATACAGTGGGTAAATAATCCAGATCCTTTACTGTTTGGTACTGATGTAATTAGCTGACAATTTTGAAGTTGATATACACTCATACGACCTTCAGCAAGTGCTAATAATAAATTTAATTCAGAAATAGCTGTCAATTGTGTGATCGGTTTTTTTCCAAGTGTTCGTGTAATTTTTACATGAGTAAAAAAGGTGGGCAAAGGGGAAGATGATGATACAGCACTTGATTGAATTTCATTCTTGAATGGAATTTCTTTTAAATGGTTATTTAAACAACTTAAGTTCGGAATGAAAAATTCAGGATGACTAGCAATTTTTGGTGTTAATTCATATACTAGTAATAATCCCTGTTTTGTACCGACCAGTAGGAAATTGTCATAACATGTTAAACATTCCAGTGGATACGGATAATCACTCAATAAACGAATAGGTACAAAAGCAGAATACATTATTACCCATTCATCTAAAATAAATAATCGAAGAGAATTAGCACACACAAAAGTCAATGTTCGGTTATTACAATTAAGTACTGAAAAGTAACCACAAGAAAGTAGTTGGTTTCGACATCGAAAATCTATCATGGAAATTTCAAAGAAAGCAGATACACTTACCAATTTTCTGGACACGTACAAGATTGTGTGCAGGTACACAAACCTATAGCTTTTAATGACGGATTATGAGGAAAAATTGATAAACACTCGTTTTTATTATATTGGGAAACGAAAGTTTAATTGGGATGTAAGTCAGCTGACTGCATGTTATCTACTAGTTACTTTGTCGGTTGTGTTAACACACTCAATAATTAGTGAGATCTCAAACACCTTTAAGTCACCAACTGTTATAACTCTGTTTTCTTACGGTTATGACCCAGCTATTACTATTGCTTAGTATTCTTGGACACCGATTCACTCGACAAGACCCCAAATCAAAACACGGTTGAACAGGAAGAGATTATATTCCAAATAACAAGGTTAGATGGAAGTAAGAAGCAAGTCAGAAGCACAATAGGGAAAACGTCAGTATATTTATAGTTTTCACATAAGAAGATTCCAGAGTATTCTCCAACTATCGACTAGTGCTGATTGGATAAGAATTAGCCAATCAGCGTGCACCAAAGCAATCATGCATTGAGCATGCTTTAATCTAGTCTATGTCCCGCTAACACCAACATTTCTAGTTGACTATCAAATAAAAGGATATTAAGTTGTTCGAGTTTCTTACAAGTGGTAACGAAGTTATATCCTTTCACACCAACCAAAAGTTCTAGTACGGTTATAAACTCGCTTATACCGCTATATACAAAACCAAAACCTCCGTTGTTATACTTTTCCATGATAGATAGGCTGTACGGATCTCTGTTCCAAAATCGATAATTAAAACATAAGAACGACAAATGAGTGGTCACACAAATTTTCATACGATTAGACAACTTTTACGGTTATATCAGTAAGACCAAACTGCACCACATGATAACTCTCAGTAGGTACATAACCAGAACATTCCTGATACAAGGTCAGATAACAAATGTGTATGAGATTGCAGTAACTTTTAGCAATTTCATTTTCAGGCGCTAAAATTGTAAATTCACAAAGACTGTCACAAAAGTCAATAAAAAGCGTACATATATACGTCCTAAACACATTACTCAGCGTTACATAATAAAAATGGGTTTCGTGTTTTTTGAAGATTAAATGTAAAATATAACTAGTGTTCGCTAAAACCGTGAAGATTAATTCACCGTATAGCAAAGCTAGTTCAATATTTCGTCTTTCTCACCTATGATACTAATTGGATTTATTCACCAATTCCGGATACACAATAAGTCTGCTTGCTAATAAATGTCATTTCAGGCATCTGACTAGCAAACGACATCAAATTTTCACCCAACTTTACTTTAGAGTAATATACTATACCCTAAACAATAATACTAATACCTAGGTCGCCATGTCATCTGCAATACAAATCCATTATTATGCGAATCAAACATGAAATTAAAAGATTAGCCTAATGAGTGCAACAATGTAACAACAATCAGGGAACGATTAATATCACATAAAGGTATGAAAAGCGGGTGCGGCGTTTTAGGTTGAATTCCAGATATATGGCCTATACTACCAGGGAAGTCCTACTCGCTGACTTCTCGTGGCATTACTTTTCTTCACGAAATTGAGAGGACGAAAAGCGGGTTTCCGGCGCTTAAACCGGGTTAGTGGACACGGAGAGTTCACATAGGAGAGTTGGAAAACCCTGATTCCAAACCAATGGTGCACATGGGATCCAGTATCCAGAAGGAACAAATGGCGTGTAAACCCATTGTTGGTCACCGGCTACCATGAGACTGCATTTCCTTACGTTGCTTCACTGCCTTGTGCATCAGACCTTTAGGTCGAAGGCTTCGGGTGTGGCCCCCTAAGAAAACCACCTGCTTCGGTTTGAGCACCCAGGCAGTATTACAGCCCTCACACAAATCAAACGGGATTTGTGTGGCGCATATGTATTCGGTGTCTTTTTGCACCAATATTTATGTATTCAGATGAAAAATAGTTTCAACTATGTATGCAAAATTAGATATTTAAGGAAAATAACAAAACATAACAGCAGTTTTAGCAGCACTGTCGTTTTCCATAAAGCGAAAAACTTGGGAATTTATTAGTTATTCAGCTCTTCCGGAAGTAGAGTGTGGGTACTACCTTACTATAATAAAAGATAAACGATATACGACTCAACACATAGCATTTATTCTCCAATTTGGATATTTCAAAGATGGTGATTTTATTTTAGAAGTATGAAGCTAACAGTCTGAAATATGTGATTAAATTAATATCAAACAGTTCTACGGTTAGTAGACGATTAATATTACAGATACGTTTAATTGAAAATATAATCAAATGACTTAGTAATTCATGAAGTAAAGAAATATAGTTATATATGTTTGAATTACTCCGAGAAGGGAGATGAACAAATTATTCATTTATTTATCTATTTGAACACATAAATACTGGTACAAGGGGGCGCCAGATATATATGAGCCACACAAATCCCGTTTGATTTGTGTGAGGGCTGTAATACTGCCTGGGTGCTCAAACCGAAGCAGGTGGTTTTCTTAGGGGGCCACACCCGAAGCCTTCGACCTAAAGGTCCGATGCACAAGGCAGTGGAGCAACGTAATGAAATGCAGTCTCATGGTAGCCGGTGACCAACGATTGGTTCATACACCATTTGTTCCCTTAGGGTACTGGATCCTATGTGTACCGTTGGTTTGGTATCAGGATTTTCCAACTCTCCTATGTGAACTCTCCGTGTCTACTAACCCGGTTTAAGCGCCGGAAATTCGTTTTTCGTCCTCTTAATTTCGTAAACAACACCCCTACCACGAGGAGGCAGTCAGTAGGCAGAGACAATATACGCGTGGCCATGTGAGAGCATTTCAAGAGGGAGAGAGGACTCTCCCCACTCTCGGTCGTACCAGGGCATTTGAAGGCCTAAAACTTACCCACATTTCATTTAATAATAGTACTCACTTTCTAACATGTATGAAAAAGCACTAAATACAGATATGGGGAAGTAAACAGTGAATGTTCAGTGTTAGAAATGTGGACAAGAAACCTGTGGAAAAAATAAAAGTGAATATACATGAAGTAAAATAGGTTGTGACTACTGGGTATGACGAGATAACCAAATGGGTATGTTAATGGTAAGGACAATTCTCTGGCATAAGCTTCTTGTCAGTCTAAGTCATATAAAGTTCATTCTGCATTTCTGGAAATCATGCGCGTTTAAGTTTTTGGTAAAGGTTCACGGGTTGGACTAAGTAAAAATAAGACAGAAATATCGCGTTAACAATCCATTCGATATTAACCGATTAATCCGGTCCAAATCATTATTCTGGTTTGTTTGGGTACTTTGGATTAAGATGTAATTCAACTAAATTGGATGCTATACTAGATAGTTGTGTTTACTTTGAGTTGTACGCTCGATAACATGATATCGTGGAAAACGAGCTTGTGTTAGTGAATGGAAATATTGTGAAATCAAACCAACCAGTCGACATCAGTTAAAAAGGTAAAGGGCTTATTTGTTTTACAGTATGAAGCTTCTAATGTTGATGGTGCTATAACAAATGCGGTAGTTAGTGTTTTTACAGCATGTCCTACATAGTCCAGTTTGGTTAAAATTAGGTTACACGAAGCTTTACTGATAAAGTCACGGTTAGAAAGGAACTCAGGCTACGGGAGGCAGCTAAAAAATATCATATTTCTAGATAGAAGTGGGATTGGGGAAATAAGAGTTTAAGGCTTATGAAAATGACTGTCCGAGTACACTTGCTAGTCAGGCGAGACTATAATTTAAGGACGAACCAATAAGATATAAGATAGCAAGTCTTGGAATTTGGCATGAAATTCATTCATCTATTTGGCTACGTAGCGTTTTGGAATTGTAGCTGATGTCAGTTTGTGATGACAAACACCAAATTAAGTTCTTAACCCTAGTTATCAACTGTAAATCATAATTCCAATTCCTCACACTGTTTTGTAGTCATGTGAAAGATAAGGTTGGTACCTATTTAAATTCCATTTAAAAACATCCAACCTACAATCTAAGGGATATTACAGATAGGTTTGTCCGTAAGCTAGAGGTGTTATGTAATAATAGTGGATATTACCCCGGAAACTTGATACAAAGGCATCGAAAAACAAATCTACTGGATGAATCTACTTTGTTGTAACAAATAACGAACTGAACCGATAAACCAACAGACTCAGAGACTACTGTGGGTTGATGAATGAGTACACTTCAAACACAATTATTTGGCTTTTGCCAACTTACGTCACCTGTGGCGAAGGCGAGATATCCGTCTATCAATAAAAGGACAAGTATACTGCGCGGCAGTCCGTTCTGTCCTACTTTACGGCAGCGAAACATGGCCATTAAGAGTAGAAGACACTCGTAAGCTACTAGCATTTGACCACAAATGCCTTAGAAATATTGCTGGCATCTGCTGGGATCACCGGGTAAGTAATAGTGAGGTTAGACGCAGGGTATTAGGGAATGATGGTAAATCAGTTGATGAGGTTAGGAATCTTCATCGACTGAGATGGTTGGACCGCGTGTTACGTATGCCTGAACACTGATTACCACGATGCGCAATGCTAACCGGTGATGTTTGGAAGAACGTTAGGGGCGGCCAAAACAAAATGTGGGATCAGTGCTTGAAGTCACTAACTTCTAGTCTGAGCCATGTTGGTAGATGCAGACTACTTGGTTGGAGTCCGCGTGACTATCGTAACCAATGGTTGGAGACTGTAGGTGACATGGCTCAGAATAGGTCACAATGGCGTCGGTGTGTACACTCTTTGTCTTTTCTTAAACTAAGAGATTAAAATCGCTTCATATCTTTCTTTCGATGAACCAATTTTTTCTTCTTGTACTATATCACTATATGCAATCTTTCTCTTATATATTACCACCTTTCACCTAATCACTGCTGTGAATCCGGTGTTCATTTTGTTGTTCTGATGCGGTATGGCAACCTGGACCGATGCACATATGTGCCTGGTCCTACATTGTAGCTGACTGACTGACTGACAATTATTTAAAAGAAACAAAGACGTAAAGTAGAAGGATCCAGATGGTGAATCTCGAAGAAAATGAAATCAGTCCATAGTTAAATAGAAATATATATCTTACTTATTACACTCTGTTTGCATAGTTTTAAATGTGATAGGAGGCAGTTTTAAAGAAAGGTATCTCCTACGAAATATGCAGACAATCACGATACATCGTTGCAAACTAGTTTCCAAAATAGCTGAAACCGAACCCAAGCACCGAACCATCATTATTTGATCTAAAAATTGTTCCAAGATACAGTAAAAACGTTAGGGATTTAAGACTGAACCACTATCTTCAAATACCTGGTGGGAAAATTATATTCTAATTAACGTCCTGACTTCAACTGACAAATAATAAATATGACCATATACATAGTAAATCACTCTATTTTAAATGAATACATTTTTAATTCACTTTTAATTCCAGATAGTGGGTCAACGTATCAACATCAATACATTCAATATCTATTGTTTAGGTCTAATATATGTATGATGGGTGCCAAACCATCAAACTCATACCAAAAACAAACAGATACAAGATTTTTAAAAAAAATATGGTTAAAAGCACTTTCTGTAGAACTGATTAGGAAAACAAGTTAAAGGCTGTCTATAGTAAAGCATCTCAAAAGTCACAGCAACGTACATACTTGAATTTCGCGCTTTCAGATTTATGAAGTGATTCAGATTTGTGTAGTAAGGACAGAAGCCTACGGCCTATGTTATTGCTTTTCTAGTATGCTTCTGTGAGTGTCCAGTATTCTCTTGAAAGAGTCAATTGAAGGTGCTGACACCACTGCTTCGGACAACAATTTTCAAGTATTGATGACTCGGTGTGAAAACCTGTATGTCACGGGTATTTTGTTCGTTCTTGGCTTTTCTACTCGCCTGCTATGCCCTCTGAAATTTCCAGATCTATATGAAGAAAAAGAGAGAATAAGTTAGTTCCGAAATCGTTTCTCAGTATTCTGTACATCAAAATTAGATCTCTCCTTAGTCTGCGAAATGACAGAGTAAAGAGGTCCAGATTTTCAAGCAGCTCTTTCAATTCTGGATTCAAACTTGATTCAGATTTGTGTATTGAAGATATGAGACTTACAGTCTGAGATTTTCCCTCTATAGTACACCTCTGTAGGCGCCCAATCTTCTCCTAAATCAGTCAATAGAATGTACAGACACCACTTCTTCGCGTAACGGGTTTGATTTTGTTGAAAAGTTTATGGCAACTCCCGCAAAATTAATTTTGATTACGCCTAATTTCACCGATCCCTTTCACTAAATTATGTGACAGACAGTGTTATTCGAACAATGACAATTCGTCTACTTCTTTGTATTGTTGTGATCGCTACCATGTCTGTCTAAATGTGTATGCTTGATCACGTGTGACAGCCGAAAATTCATATTCCTCACCCTGCCTTAAATAATCATCGCTTAAACATCACTTGACGAGAAAGTCCGCCCCCTTTATATGTAATTTAATCTTAATAATGTCTTTCGGTTCGCCTCAACCTGCTAAGCCTATGCCTTACCTCGCTGCGCCTTGAATTGGTTTTACCATAAATTCGCCTCTGTATTCACTCGCTCGAACATATAAGCCTCTCTGTTCACATTCACTCGACGTGCCTGTAACTTTATCATCTGTACTTTCCAGTAACAGACTGAAGTGGCCATCTCTTATTACCTTCTGAACTCTTGCGCTGTTGGGATTTATATAATAACGTTGATCGATAAACGAAGCAAGGAATTGTCTCGAAGTCAAGCCATTACAAATCGGTCTAAACTTTGTCTGTCGGTTAGGACTCGACTTTTAGGTATAGCCGTTTTCAAATTTTCGTAAAGTTCCGAAACATAACTGGTAAATATCCTAGGTGTGACGTACCTGTTAGGCTTACGCAATAGTACTTTCACAACGAGAAATTGTGCGCGTGAATCTGGCCCACCGGACTTGTCAAAGTGAACCAAACTAATATACTGTCGGCCAGAATGGCATGAGTTGAAGGGTGTTGTGCGAAAAGACATAATATTCAATAATTGGTTTGTCTGTCCCACTGTGATAAAAATATGAAATTTTGGCGGGCGAAAAAAATATCCAAAAACCTGAAAGTAATTTCATAATAGGTAAAAATAAAAATCGAATAATTATTTGTAATGTTCTGGCAAGGAGCAGACCGACAGCTAACGAGCTGGTGTATCAAATCACGTTTGTGGTACCACCGAAAATGCTACATGTATTCGAATTCGACAACGCATTCACACGTAATGCTAAAATAATTGAAGTATACCAGCGCACTCAGTTCAGAAATCAGAAATGGAGGGCTCGAGGATATGTTTTGAAAGCCAGCTAAATTCTGTGAAGCGCCTAGCATGAGCCGTCCTGCAGTTACAAGAGATGCGCAGAACAGAGTACCCACTCGTGATCTGTGTTCGGCTGCGCGAGGTATGTACAGTAAAACTAATGAGATCAACATGAATGTCAAAGACTAGTGGAAATACTTATTTTAGAGGTATATTAACCGCTACAGGCGGTACATAGAATAACGAGCTATAGAGGTACTTATTATCCTTTACGAGTAGTCAAGTTGTGAAATTCACTGCCGTAGAAACTGATCCGAGCGTCTTCATAGGAGTCCTAGGGACTAAGGAAAGTATTTCAATATACTCTACCAGTTATTATTATTATTAATATCATTATTATTATTATTATCCGCAAACACCTTATGGGTACTTCTTTCTCTTTTGTCTTTTAACATTGCCAGGTTCCTAGCTGACTGCACCAGTGATCCACTGATACTAACGTAATCGATCGGTGCTTACTTATGTTAAAACACTTCCACTAGTCTAATGATTATTAATCACGCGTCATACCGTATTGTAATACTGATTAGTACTCATAGCTTATTAGCTCGATCGATACTGATAATGGATCGTCTATATTTATGTTTGGCCATGACTGTTTATTACCAAGCTTTGGTAGCATTTACATTGTTCTTAAAACCAACATTTGTATTTTGTCACATTTCATACCACAGGGGACAGAAAAACGACATCCAGGTCGCTAACATGAGTTCCTCATGACCGTGTTTAAATGAAAGTTGTTTAGTAGATTGAATCAAAGTTGACGACCGTAAAACAAAAAGCAATACACTAGAAGCAGGTACAACAGATAAAACGCGCAGTACAAAATGTTAGAATATTATAGTATTCTAATTATAGTATGAATTAGGAATTCCAGGATTAACGCAATTGAATTAAGAAGACACAGGTACAACGAATGTACTGTATTTAGAATTCGAAATCGAGCATTCAACAAGTACAAAAGAATCATTAGTTAATTCAAACACCACAAATATACTAAATCTAGCCACGATGTAGAAAACTGTAAAAACCGAATTGTAAGCAGAGGCAAAGCTTCAGTTAATTATTAACCCGTATTTAGCTCAAAATATAGATTAGTCTACAACACGTGAGGTTTGATGTTCATCCATCGTTCCAAGTAGTGGAATGCAAGTGAACAAGGGTGATACATCTGGTGATATCATGAAGCTGTTCTTCACTGATAGACTTTTCAGATTCTCAAAAAATTCAAAGAAATCTTTGACAGTATACTAACAGAAGAACTATTTTCGTACTTCTTTCATTCGGTTTTTTCGAACTTTGTATTTTTTGAACCTTGTGTTTTTTCTCAACATTCATCTGTTGATTCTTACATAAGTGCTATTCTATTGACCATCCAATAAAATATTCTGTTCATTCCCTTTTTCATATATTATACAGCGTAACAACTTCTTGATTTTCGAATAATTAGTTTGAATATAAATAATCCTCTTTCTTCTACTTACTTAATGTTAATTTGTAGTCGAAATGTCACTATGCAATTATTACGTAACGCATCCACTCGATGAGTATTATTCCATCGTTGTGAATCATATATATATATATATATATATATATATATATATATATATATATATATATATATTAGTGTAGAGCCATGATGAAAAACTAATTGAAAAGAAATTTCGGCGAGATTCTAGTTTATCCAATCAGAAGCGTTTGAGCAATTTCAATCATTAGATAATCAGATCACAGTATAAAGTTAAAATATATTATAAGAAAGTAATGAATTACAGTGGCTATTCTTCTTTTACATGATTTAAAAACTTGTTAAAGTTTTACAAAGGTTCAGAGGTTCTGAATTCATAATGCGCATGCTTTAGAAACTCGTCCATAGGGTTAGGGTTGTAGTCACTCAATAAACACCTCTTCTCTGAAATCCGTTGTAAACCAATCGCATGTTAGCACCCCAACCCTAACCTAACCCTAACCTTAACCCTAACCCTAAACCCTAACGCTAATCTAACCCTAACCGTATGGACGAGTTTCTATACGATATGCATTATGAATTCAGAACCTCTGAACCTTTATCAAACTTTGACAAGTTTTTAAATCATGTAAAAGAAGAATATCCACTTTAGTTCATTACTTTATTTTAATATATTTTCACTTTATACTTACTGTCTTCTGATTAGCTAATAATTGTCAAGGTCATTTAAGATTCGTTCATAGGTCGTCTTTAAATTAGAGTTTCGCCGAAATTTCTAAGCTCTTTTTTCCTTCTTTACTTACCAAATGTCAGAATATAGATTTTTGCTAAATCTATTTAGTCCTTAATGTTAGATGCATACAGATCAGATAACTTCCACTAGAACTCATGGTGAAATGAATGTAGCGTTAAGTCTCAATTATCAACATTCGCCTTGTTATATGCTGATGAGGTCAAGACATGGAGAGCGATGCGATGCAAAGGTGACAGCTCAGAAATCCAAAATGACCTGGAGAAATTATTTGAATAGTCTCAGGCCCGTCAGTTGCTAATAAATACTTTCAAGTGTGTTGTGGTGAATATTGGTGATCAAGGTACAGATATATACGCCATGAATAACACTGAGCTGTTCGTTGTCCAAACGCACAATGACTTGGTAGTCATCGTTAACCAGAACTTAAAGACTGCTGCACTGCTGTGCAGTAGCCGCCAAAGGTTCTATAACTTTGTGGTCATTACGTAGGGCTTTCGATAATGTTTATGTTAAAACGTTTTTGACTTTGTATACAGTGTTCGTGAGTCCTAAACTTGAGTACTGCATACAAGCAGCCAGCCCCTACTTGAAAAAAGACAGTGAGCTTCTGGAAAAGGTTCAGAGAACAGCAACTAAGCTGATTCCCGGAAAAGCGAAGCTTCCGTATGAAGCTCGACTGGCCAAGCCCAACCTATTCCCGTCGTCATATTGTAGAACTTAAGAGGACTTGGTTACAGTTTTCAAATTGTTTAGTCATAAATTCGCATCTGATATGCCCTCATTTTTCTTGTCTTTCATAACAGAGAATTTACGAGGACACTTCAAAAATGTTCACAAGCCAAGAACAAATTACTTGCCAGCTGACTATCGACTTTTCCATCGAATCATCAACGAATGGAATTCAGTACCTCAGCACGTGGTTGAGGCTCCACCCGTAGACTCTTCCTAAAGAAAGTTGGATCAACAGAGAGACCATCAGCAGCAGTATTGACACAGGATCACAAGCCTGCAAACGTTTCGAATCTGAAGCCGTGTTTAAATTAAGCAACTTTCTCGAATATCATTGATGTAGCATTTTGTGTTATATGCGTATTTGACATGAA